CTAACCCTAACCTAACCCTAACCCTAAGCAATAAGATCCGGATACATGCAATGCAGATGCGCCACGCCCGATCCAGCCGGACGATGCGCTCATAACAATAAAATCGTACAACCTCCGCCCCTTCCGCTCACCACAACCGCGGCCGAAGCACCTTGTCGAGCGCTTTGAGGCATACGTCGGCCATGAGGGAGTGGACGTAGGTTGTGGGGTGGTACTGCGCGCAATGCGAACGTGAGCCCGGTCAATCCGCGAGAAGTGGAAGAACGGACGCGACGCACATCATCAAACCAGATGTACTCCCTCACGTTTGCATCACATTTCTCCTTGATGCACCCGACCTTGAGATACTCCTTGTTGAACCCGTACTCTTCGGGGCGCCGCATGATGTTATCGAAGAGGGAGAAAAAGTCGGCAAAGGCGAGGCCGGGCTGGGTGCGCGTCCAGTCGAGGTAGATCTTGTGTAGCTCCGTGGAGAAGAAACGCATGGGCTCGGCGGCGTCGGGGAGGGCGTTCTGCGCGCGTAAGAGCGGTCAGTCAAGGAGCGGAAGAGGCGAAGCGCGCGACGAACGGAGTAAGGATAGTTGTCGCCGAGCGGCGGCAGCGTCGGGATGACGATGTACTCGGCGCCTGCGGGCGAGCAGTGAAAAGCGGTCAGCAGGAGAGCGAGAGACGCAGGAGGACGTCGGGCGCTCACCAATCTTCCTCAACATCTCGACACACTCCTTCAAGTCCACCAATACCTCGGCGGGTGTCCCGCCTTCCTCGAGCGAGAAGTACGCGTCGTTGGCGCCGGCGTAGAGGATGAAGAGGGTGTTGCTCTCGTCCGTCTTGCCGACCGAGTATTTGGCGATTTGGTCCATGATGCAGTCGACGGGGAGCATGCCGTGTTCGCCGGATCGAGAGGAGACGCGGTGAGAGATCGAAGCGCCGCCGGTAGCTGTGCGAGAGACCAAGGGGGAGGGTAAGCGAAGAGCGAGGGCGAGGAGGACCGCGGCTGCAACGCACCGTAGCTGATCAAGGGCACGCCGAGCTCTTGCGCGACATACTCCGAGTACACTGGCCCGTTCGTGAAGCGGTGGCCTACATACTGCAGGCGAGTGAACGAGCGAGAGATCAGCACAAAGGTCCTCCCGGGCGAGACAGCCCCAAGAACGACCGCTCGAACTCACCGACTTGTCCGACGGCCAGGTCTTGTTTGTGAAGAGCCACGCTCCGTTCCTGCGAGTCGACGGATCAAGAGCGAGCGCCGGTCAGCCAGCCACTCCTCCTCCTCGTCGTCGTGGTTGAACGACCGCGGTGGACGCACCCTGCGTCGCTGAGCGAGTCTCCGAAGCAGACGACCCTGTTGAACCTGCTGCGTTTTCCGACGACCCACTTGGTGCGCCTGTCTGCGAGTGCGGTCGAGATGGCGTCGCGCTTGTGGTGTCCTGTGCCGAGGAGGAGGACGAGGGCGAGGACTGCGCAGAGCAAGACGAGGGGCCGTGGGAGGGGTGGTGGCATCTCTCGAGCGTGTCCGGCGTCGCAGCAGAGACGCAGACGAGCCCAGCTGCGCAAAGGAAGCAGCGGGCGAGCCGAGAGTCGAGGTCGTCGCCGTCGTCCAGCCACCTCTCGACCATCCCGCGCCCAACCTCGCTTCGTACGGCTCACTGCACACACAGACACACTCGCTGGGACTCGCTCGAGCTAGTGGATCTCCCTGGACACCCGCTGCTGCCGCTCGTCTCTCGCTCTCCCCTTCGCTTCACTGCTCGCTCGGGATGGCTTCCCCACTCAAGGCAGCCCACGTATGGCTCTTCGACACGAATCCCAAGGCAGGCGTGGCGGTGAGTGTCAGGGCGACCATCGAGCGAGGCGGCGCAGGCTGACAGGACCGACTCGCGGACCAGGTCATGTACGGCACGCTGAACGCAATAGGCGACACCCTCGCCCAAACTTTCTTCGTGAGTGCGCGCGCCCTCCAGCTCCAAGGATGCTCAACTGACGGCTCCCCCGCCCGCAGTCCTCGTCGCCGTTCGACCCGGCGAGAACACTGCGATTCTGGCTCTTTGGCGTCGGGATCGCTCCCCTCGCCTTGCTGTGGAACGGTGCGCGCCCTCCTACGCGCTCTTTAACACTCTAACTGACGCGCAACCGCACCGGCAGCCTACCTCGAGCGAAACTACCCTCTCCGACCGACCTCGTCCGTCCCTCACCCCGAAGAACCCGTCCCTCTCGAATCGATCCAAATCCACTCTTCCTCCTCCACACACTCTCGCTTGTCCTCACTCCAAACAAACGGCGTCGGTCTCGACGACAAAGCCTCGAAACTCGCGCACCATCGGCGGAAATCGAGTGTGGGCGTTCAGGCGGTCGAGGCGATGCCGCGCAGCCCGTTGTTGGGTGGTCAAGAGGCGGTAGGCGCCAAGGAGGATGCGGTGCCGAGTGTGGACAAGGTGGTGCTCGCGCGACGAGTCGGGGTCGACCAGATCATCATGTGAGGCGCCGCTGAACTCCCTCTCTCTCTCCTTCCCACACACGCTAACTCGCCCCACTTGCAGGGCGCCCATCTCCTTCATCGTCTTCCTCGTCGCCATGGGCCTAATGGAGTTCAAATCCCCTTCTCAAATCTGGCTCAAGATCCAACGCGCCTTCTTCGCGATCCTCTGGACAAACTACAAAGTCTGGCCGTTCATCCAGGTCGTCATGTTCCTCTACGTGCCGCTCAAGTACCGCGTGCCGTTGAGCGGGTGCATCAACGTCCTCTGGACGGTGTACCTGAGCTGGGAGACGGCGGTCAAGACGAAGTAGCGGCCGGGAAGCGTGTAGTGTCGACGTATTCGCATGCAAGCGAGGACGTAGTTCGCTTGTCCATTGCCCGAGCCTCACGGCTGCGACACGCGAGGTGGATAGGAAAAGAACGTCCATTGCGTCCGCGGGAAAAGCATCGCCTGACCTCCTCCTCCTCCCTGCTCCACTTCCGGTCCCAGCTCCGCTCACACGCCCTGCACCGTGCCATACTCGCTCTCCACCCCGGGCTCCACCAGCGCCGCATGTCCCAGAATCAACACGCTGCTGGACCCGACGAGCCAGAAGAAAGACGCGATGGGCGCCGAGATCCAGAGGATGGGGATGCCGACGATGAGTAGGACCATGTAGAGGTGGCGGGGCTCGATGGTGGTGGAGCCGAATTGGACCGGCTCGGGGATGAAGCGGTTTATGCCGATGTAGCCCTGCGTGCGTGCGAGGAACGGGTTAGCGCTGGAAGTTGGGCAATGGTGGAGTCGCTGGACGCACGCCGATGAGGAAGGCGAGGGCGATGAGGAGGAGCGGGTTCGTGAGGAGCGAGTAGACGGCGAGGAGGAGGATGACTGCAGGAATCGAGGGAGGTCAGCGGGCGAGTTTGGTCATTCGCCGGGGAGCAGGGTGTGCGTGACTACGCACGGAGAATGTAGTTGCCGCTGAAGTAGTTGACGTTGTACCTGCGTGAAGGAGAAGAGCGTCAGGACGAGCAGGAATGCGTTTTGAGGCGGTTCGAAGCGAACTTGATTCGTGAAGTTGCAGCCTACAGGAGTACAAGCGATGTCAGTCGTCGTGCACAGAACCCTGCACCGGAATCGCCCATGCGAGAGATGGGGACGGTGGAAACGCAAGGAGGAAGAGACGAGACTCACGCCCATGTCCGCCGGCTTCGACACCCGCTGCGAACGCACAATAGACGGGATCAGTGCTGTCCTGCTCCACGAGACCCAGCCAACTACTGCCCCTCCCGCTCAGGACACGCAGCAGCCAGCGGGACGTGATCGAAGGGAGCGAGGCGCACCTGTACGTTGAAGAACTCCTGGGGCGGGCGCAGCGTTTGCAGACGTTCCTGCTAAAGCTCGAGGTTAGCGCGCACGTCTTGTCCACGCCGTCGCACCAGCTGCCGCCGACATCGCTGTTGTCGGGATGTGGCTGGACTAGGCGAGTTGAATGGACGCGGCGAGCGCACCCGGAATTGGTTGAGGGTCTCTGGGAGACGCTGCATGCGCTGTTGTGCTTCCATCGTGAGCAGCAAGCCAGGCGAGCGAGTTGGAGCGCGGGACGGCGGGAGAGAGAGCGCGCGACAACTTCGCGACGGGAGGATCAACACTCGAAACTCGTTCGTAGGGCAGAACAGCCACGTTTACGAGGGCACAACGTCCTACAGAGACTACCGGTCGGACGCGAACGCCTGGAGGAGACCGCGGAGGTCGCGAGCCGAACAAAGGGGCGCCAACTCGCTCTTGTGCATCCTGCGGGCGGAGTGAGCGTGTCAGTGGCCGCTTGCGTGTACTGCGGTGACCAGTACTACGCACTGGATGAGCGAGACGTGAAGCGAGTCCCAGAGGGCGTGGCTGACGCCCGCAGCGTTGACGGGCGGAGTCTGCTGCATATCTGCGAGGCGACGACCACGATTGTCAGATCGACGCTTCGTGACAGTGAAGGACCCTCACGCACTGTCGTACTCCATGTCGGCCTCCTGCACGGACAGCGCTGTCAAGAGGTGGTGGACGGCATCCTCGTATTGCTGCGGAACAGAAGCGAGGTCAGCTCGACTTCACGAACCAGCGCAGCGTGGCACGCACCCCGAGGTTCATTGCCGCGACGGCCAGGTTGAACCTCGCGCGCACGTAGCCCGGGTCGAGGTCGAGCGCGGCGTGGTAGTACTGCATGGCAAGGTCGGTCTTGCCCGAGTTGGCGTACGTCGCGCCGATGCGGTTGTACAGGAGCGGGTCGTCCGGGCGCACCGAGAGCGCCGCCTCGAAGCAGTCGCCGGCCTTGTCGTACTCCTCGCTCGAGTTGAACAGGACGCCGAGCGCGATCTGGACGTCTGCGTCGACACCCGCCGCACCCTCGCCCTTCTCAGCGCTGTGCTGCGCGAGCCGGATGAGCAAATTCGACAGGTACGCGTGGCGTTCGACCGTGTTGTCGGGCAAGGCGGCGCCAAACAAGTGGCGGTACTGCTCGATCTCGTTCGCGTACGCACGGTTCTCGCCCGTCTGCGCCGAGACCCACCGGTTGATCTCCTCGTACGACTCGCTGCGGCGGCCCTCGTTCGTGTAGCTGACGGCGAGCGCGAGATGGGCGGCGCCGTTCGAGACGAGGGGGTCCAACTCGATGGCCCGCCTGAGAGCCGCAATTGCCAACTCTTCGCGCTCGTTCTGCTGCTGTTTCAGGCCGAGTGAGAGCCATGCCGAGGCGTTCGTCGGGTCGTGCTGGACGTCGGCTTCGCGCTGGAGGAGCGAGTCGTGGCGTTCGGAGAGGACCGCAGCGAGGTCGGTCGCGTTGCCCTGGTGCTGGGCGTGGTGGTGCGTCGATGACGAGTGATAGTGCGCGCCGACGTACGGGTTGTTCTGCGCAAACGCGTAGCCGTGGCTTGTCGCGCTCGTCGAAGCCGTGGCCATCGCCTCTTTCTGGTTCTTCGGCTTGAGCCCCGCCGCCGAGACCTCGATGTTGTCCCACTCGCTCTGGAGCAAATCCCACTCCTTCTGCTGCGCCGACATGCCCGCGCCGGACAACCTCCGCGCAACGCCGCCACCAAGCTGGTGTCCGCCGACGATCATGCTCGGGTCGTCAAAGTCCTCCTCCCACGACGACTGCGCGAGCGGGACGTGCGTGTCGGCGACGATGTCGCGCATGTCCTCCTCGTGAGCGAACGAACCGCCGTCGCCCTGGAACTGGAACGGCGCGCGCTCCTTGCCCTTGCCCTTGCCCTTGGCCACGCGCTCCCTCTCAGTCCGCGCGCGGTCCTCGTCCTTCCACAACTCGCCCAGCTCGTCGTACCCCTCCATCGTCGAGCGCAGGAGCTCCTGGTTGTCGCGGGCCTGGTTCTCCCGGAAGGCCTGGAAGTTGAAGCCACCCGCCCAAGCGTGCTGCTCGTGCGCATGCTCCGCGACCGACTGACCGGGCCTCAAGATCGGCGGCGCCTGTCCGACCCGTCCTTCCTCCTCGCGCTCCAAGGGCTCACGCATCGTCGCAGCGAAATCGGTCGCCCATCCATCGTCCCTCGCTCGTCCTTTACCCTTGTCCGCCGCCGCGACAGGCTGAACCTGCTCGACGACCTTGTCCCCCTCAACCGCGACTTCTCCGTCCTTCAACCGCCGCATGAGCTCCATGAACGACGACTGGGCGAACTTGTCGCCCACATCGCGTTCCGATTGGTGCTCCTGCGTCCGGAGACGCTGCTCTTCGGCCGACTTGACGGTCGAGAGGAGGTTAGCGGCTGTTTCGGCGAGTGCGTCGCGCGCTTGGGTGTCGGCGATGGGCGTGTGGGCGCGGAGGGGAGGCGTGAGAGGCCGGGTCTCGGTGATGCCGGCGAAGGTGGTTGAGGAGGGGAGGGAGTCGGTGATGAGCTGAGAGGCGGGCGCCACCTCCTGTGCCAGGAAGGCCTTCTCCCAATCTACGCGCGGAGATCGTCAGCGAAAGACGCGAGGAGGGGAACACGGCGGACTCACCGACTTTCCCGCTCTGCTCCTCCCTGGCGCGGTCCATCTGGACATCCTGCATCCCCGGCGCGACCTGCTGCGGCGCATAACCCATCGGTCTCGCCATCGACATCATCGGACCGATATTCGAGAAGCCCTGGCCGTGCAAGCGCGACATGGCCTGCGGCTGAGCCTGCGGGACTTGCGGGACCTGCGATGCCGGCTGCGAGTGAAACTCGCTCCTCCACGCCGACTGCTCCACGTGCGCCTGCTGTTGTGGCCGCCCAAACGCGCGAGCAAACATCTCCTGCTCCTGTGCGCTGTGAGCGACAGGCGGACCTTGCTGCGCGACGAACGCTTGTGCCCATGCTGGCGGTGCGGGAGAGGCCGATTTCGGCTGGGCTGTCGTGGGCGTTAAGGCGCGGTGGAGGGGAGCGAGGTCGAAGGGCTGGGAAGGGTGCGGCTGGAAGAATTGGGCGGCGGAGGGATCGGAGGGATGGGCTTGAGTCGGGGTCGACTGGCGGAACGATTGCTGCGGGTGCGAGCGCGTGTCAGTGGGAGCATTTCAACTAGCAAGAGCGCGTGAGCGCACTGAACCCGATGGCCCCGCCTGCGAGCCAAAGTGATCCTGTTCAGGAGGGAAGACGACGGCGTGTGTCAGCACGACGACTTCGCCCGCCTCCCTGGGTAGTCAGCACCATCCTGCGCACCTGCTGAGCCCCTCTGTCTGCACCGTACGTCTTGGACAGCTGCTGGAGCGGGTTTGACGGTCCGCATGAGGCGCCACCTGCGAGCGAGGCGAGCATGGCGTCTGGCGCTGCGGGACAAAGACTGGCGGGGTCGTGCGAGTCTCAGCAGTCGTCCTAGCAGTACCAGCGGGTGTCTGAGCGAGTGCGAGCGGGCGAAGTGAGCTGGTCGAGGTCAAGCCGTCGGTCAAGTCGACGAGCCGAGATCCGGGACGACTTGACCCCGTTCGATACCGCCAACAGCTGCTTCCAGGGCTCCATTGGCAGCGTCGAGCTGTTTTTGCGACTCTCCGGACCCGCCTGAACCCACCCGTCTTTGTCCCGCACCGCCTCGTCGTCTCCTTGCTCCACCCGCTCCTCCTCGACCTCATCAGTCCATTCTCGCCAACAACACCTCACAGGGGCTATCCGAGACGATGGAGACCGCGACAGCAACCACAGAACACCGGATCTTGCCCACCACGCGCACAGACCCGACTTTCCTGGTGCGCTGCCGTCGATTTCGACTGTCTCCCGGTCGAACATCGCTCATCCTCGCTTTTTCGGCGACAGCAAGGACTCGAGTTGATTTTGCAGCCGTACTACGACCAAGGGGCGAGCGAAGACGAGATTCGAGACGTGGTCAAGCGCGCCGAGGCCTTCTACCTCTCCTCGTGCGCCGTCATCCTCGTTCGCTTCTACGCTCTCCTTTCCGCTGACTCCGCCATCTGTCTCTAGACACGCCCCAGAAGATCTCGAACAACCTCAGCCCCTCTCATCTCTCACCACCGTCCCCTCCGCCTCCTCACCCTCCTCATCCTCCCAACCTCCCCCTCCCTCTTCCTCCTCGGACCCACCCTACCCTCCAACATTCGCCCAACTAGCCGCCTTAATCGCTACCGGCGCGCCCATCCCCGGAATCAAGGAGATCCCGGATAAGCTTGCGGAGGGGGAGCCGAGTGAGAGTCGGGAGAGTGTGAGGAGGAAACCTTGGGAGAAGGCCGGTGCGGGGGGAGGAGGAGATGAGAGTGGGATGCTGGAAGGGGCAGCGGATGAGACGATGAAGGAGGAAGGGAGCGGGCAGGTGTAGCCATTGCGGCGATCCAGCGCGATTCGAACGACTGAATCGCCTTGCTCGCTTGCGGAGACAGGACGTGCGCTCCGACGGCGTCCTATCACAGTCGAGCAGCGCAAAGCCTCGTGACCGCCTATCACTGGGGGCTCTCCCTGGAGTACGAACCTGACCGACCGAAACTCATGCAATACAAGCTCTTCCTCCACCCATGATACGCCCACCGAAGTGCTCAAGTGTCTATGTAGGCGGCAGCCGCTTCTGCAGCCATTTCCGCATGTCTACAAGCGCGAACGGAGGCAAGGTCAGCTTCTTGGCGGGAAAGGAGGAGAACGGAGGGAAGAACGGACCTTGCAGCTCGTCCGCGCGAGTCCAGTGCGTGAGACCTGGCGTGGAAAAGCGTCGTCAGCGGAGGGGGAAGACGAGAAGAGTGGCAGGAGGCGGGAGGAAGCGCACCAGAGTAAGTGTGGAATTCGACGTCTTTGAAGCCCATCCCATGCAGCAAATCGAGCGTCTTCAGTCCCCAGCCGTGTCTGAATCGTAAGTCGAGCGAGTCAGTCGATTCAGGTGAGAAGGAGGAGGGAGGAGACGGGACGAACCGGATCGTCTGGTCTGCGTCGCCGTGGCCCATCCAGACCGGCAAGTTGTGCGCGTTCGGTGTCTGGTACTGCGACACGCAACGAGCGTCAGTAGGAGCGCCGAGGCGAGAAGAGCGACGCCGAATCGCAAGAAACGGAACGAGTACGCACAGGGTGCTTCCCGTTCTTCATCTGATCCGCAAGCGGGAGCCAGCCCGACATGCACATCAGCCCTCCGAGCTTCTCCTTCGACGACAAGCCCGCCAACAAGCTAATCGCGCAACCTGTACACCTCTCACCCAGCATCAGCTCCTTTTCCTTCTCAGACGACGATGGCCCGACGCACCCTGCGAGAACCCAGCCAGGACGATCCTATCCGAGTCGATTCCCTTGTCCAGCTCGCCCTGGATCAACGCGTGTACCCGGTCGACAGCCTTCTTCATCGCGACTTCGTCTTCGTGCGTTGGAAGAGGGGGGTCGAAGTCGGTCTTTTCGGGGAACGAGTCGATATCGAACCTGGGGACGTAGGCGTGATGAGTGTGTGAAAAGAGGATGAACGAATGAGGCGAAAAGGGAACGCACCAGGCTGGCCCGACTTTCCCGTCTGCCGCGGTGATGGGAAGCAGAGGCCTGCGGGCGGGAGCTGCTCAGTCATCCGCCATACTCAGAGAGATGGAAGAACGCTAATGACGCACGAGTTGGGCATCAACCACGACACCTGCCACAACTTTGGCCGGATGACCTCCATGAGAGGGAACCTGCGCGAAATGGTCAACACGGCTGCCGCACGTCTCCCATATGTACACGCGCACTCACACCATCGCTGCTGATCCGCCCAGTCCACTGCAGACGAGCGGAAACGAGTTAGCCCAGCATCAAAGGAACGAAGTCGTCGGTAACGCACTGGAGGAAGATGACGGTCGCGCTGTGTCTGCCGATGCCGAGCACCTCTGTATCCGTCTCTGCCTCGCTCGCCGTCGGGTACATCTTGAGCATCTCGGAGACGTCCTCCGTCTCGCCCGTCTCGCTCGGGGGCGCTGGCCGCAGGAGGAGGAAGAGCGTCAAGGCGGCGACGGCGAGCAGGATCCACCGCGCTGGTGCAGTCGGGGCATTGTACGAGTAGCGCATTCGTGCCAGACGACGGCGTGCGAGCGGTTGTTCGACGACGAGAGCGAGTACGGGGCGAGTGCGGCGGGCTGGCGGGCTGGCTCGTCCTCCGGCTGGCTCTGTCTCCGTCGGAAGGCTTGCAAATAAGCATGCAATCGAGCCGGCGCCGGCGTCGTTGCGGCTGTTCTCGACCGGTTTCAGCACTTGTCGACGGCGCGAACCTTCTCAATTCGGGCGGAGAAGCCAGCCACCCTTCGACCCGCTCGACCGTGGCGAGGCTTCATCCGCTTCGACGTCTGGAGACGCGCAGACCTTGCCTGGGTCAGGAGTAGGAGCCTTGGCTCAGCTGCCCCAGCTCCCGCTGCTCCCCAACCACACCTCGTCCTCTTCCTCTTCCTCTTCCTCTTCACCCGGCGTCTGGCTTCACGTCCCAGTCTCTTCGCGAGACGCACACACATCCGTTCCGACCCCTCACACTCGTTCCATCTCCACCGGACTCAAAATGGCGACCCGCGCACTCCTGGCAGGCCAGTCGACCCTCGCCCGCTCGTCCTCACTCGCTTCGTCGAGCGCACTCAAGGCTATCGGGCCCATCCGCCGCGCGACGGTCCTCTCGGGTTTCGCGGCTCCGTCGTCGAAGAAGGCGCCGCCTCCTATGGCGTTTGCGAGCGCGGAGGTCCTCCAGCCGAGTTGGCGTGCGTTTGAAGCGGTCCGTCTGCCGCCTGATCAGCTAGCTCACCTCCTGCATTGTACAGTGCGCGCTGAGCTCCGCTCGAAGGGCATGCAAGGCCGCATCACCCTCTAAGCCGCCTCACCTCCCCCACTCCACCTCTCACGCCCTCGACCCCAGCCAGACCCGCATGTTTGCTCAGTACAGCACACACCATCGCCAGACCCGCACATACAAGCTCACACAGCACCGCCATTCGTTCACCGCCATGTATCCCCATCCTCAGTCCCGCCCCATGTAGCCCTCTGCTCGATTTTCGCCTTTCTGGTTTCCGGGACGTACCTCATCATGGTCACATCACACATTCGTTGCGCTTGTAGCGCTCACGCTCGCTTGTAACGTTCCTCGTTTTTGGAGTGAAGCCTCGAGATGGATTGCGAGAGATGCGAGAGGTGGTACAACATGGCGAGAATCGGGTACTGGGTGATTCGGTAGGGTATCTTGTTGTTCTGCTATTCTGCACGAGGAAAGCGTCGGTACCTCACAACCACGACGAAGCGAAGGCAGACGCACCTTGCGAGTCTACCGCTTCTTCCTCTCAAGCACCGTATCTAACGCCTCCACCAACGCCCGCTCGAGAGGTAGGATCGCCCGTTCTGCGTTCGCTGGGCCGGCTGTCGAGTCGCTCGCGAGGGAGGAGAGGTCGAGCGAGAGGAAGAACTGCGTCGAGTAGCGTTTCGCTGCGGGAGACGGCGGGGTCAGCTGGCAGATAGAGCTTCGAGCGAGTTGGGCGGACCTACCTAGTCGCGATGAGAGTGTCAACGAGGCGGAACTGCCCTTGCTGAGCGTTGTCGCTGCAGGTGGGCCGTTCGGACGCTGGTGGGGAGAACCCAAGGTCAGCTACGACGACGACGCTTGATCTGAAGCACGCGCACCGACAAGGCGACGCTGATATCTCTCGCCCAAGCGAACGGGAGCGGCTGCCCGCCCACTGCGAGCATGGCGGCGCCTGGTCCGAGGACGGTCAACTGGGCGAAGAGCGGCGACGAGAACGCAGCGTCGAAGCGGGACAGGTCGAGCGGGAGCGTGTGTAGCGTGATGCCAGGCGTCGTCTGCGTCACACCAGCCATCTTAAGCTCGAGGAGAAGCGTTGAGATGAGGTCAACTCTGCGAGTCGCTGGGTCTCCTCACGACTTGACGCTCGCTCGCCGGCTGAGGGCGTCTGTGCGCCTCGAGACGCTTGCTACCATGCCTCCAAAGGCTTCGACGTCGGCTGCAGGGGGCCCAGGGGCTGCGGCGGGAGGAAACGCGAAGAAGCTCAGTCCGCTGGAGCTCAAGTTGCTCAACGTCGGCCTCAGCGTGCGCGGCGGGGTGCGTTCACTTCCAGTCGTCCTGTGAGACCGTCATACAAGCGCATGCTGACCGGCGAACCTCCCCGTGCGCGTCGTCGAGCAGGAGATCAGCCAACAGGACCTGTTCGCTCAGTGCGGCTTGAGTGTGAACCAGGCCTCGGGCGATGCGGTCAACTCGCTGCTACGAAAGGTGCGTCCACGGAGAGCTCGTGCTAGCCGATGTGCACGCTGACAGGCGGTGAGGATGGCAGGGTCTCGCCCAGATGCTCCGGACTCCCAGCGGCCAGATCTTGTTCCGCTTCATGGGCAAGGAGGAGGCAAAGGCGTGCGTCCAAACTCTCTCCGAACGCTACCGAGCCCACCAGGCTGACCCGCGATGTCCCCCGCGCAGGATGAGTTCGATGGACAGCGAGGAGAAGCTGGTGTTGGACCACATCAAGGAGGCGGGGAACATGGGTGCGTGCCGCTCACTGCGTCTTCTCCGTGCTCTCCTGACGATGATCTGCGCCCTACAGGAATCTGGAGCCGGACGCTGAACGCAAAGACGGGCTTGCCGCGCGCGACGGTCGAAAAGGCGCTCAAGGTCCTCGAGGGACGCAAGACGATCAAGCGCGTCAAGTCGGTCAAGGTGCGTTGCAGTCACTGCGCCAGCTTCGGATGCTGTCCCCTCACCCACTGACTCGCTCTCGGTCCCTCATTTTCCCCGCTCGCAGGCTCCGACTCGCAAGATCTACATGCTCGCGGGCATCCAGCCCTCGGTGGAGCTGACGGGCGGTCCTTGGTTCACGGACAACGAGCTCGACACGGAACTGGTCGAGCAGCTCAAGAAGATTGTTCAGAAGTTCCTGCAGCAGAGGGTGCGCGACAGCCGGTCTCGTCGGCGCTCTTCCCTTCATCCGGACGAATGAGCTGACTAGAGAAGGAACATCGCACGCAGTCCATCCCGCCCTCGATCCAGATCCACGCACCTTCCGCCGACCCCTCCTCATCCACCTCGCAAACCCAGAAATTCCGCCCCATCTTCCCCACCACCGCCACCCCCTTCCTCCCCTCGGTCGACGACGTCCTCACCTTCATCACCCAGCTCGGCGCGACAGTCGTCGAACTCCACCCCGAGCACGTCGAGGCATTGCTCGACTTGATGATCTACGATGGGGTGGTGGAGAAGGTGCTCGTCCAGCGGAACCCGACGATCCCCGCCCCTCGCGACGGGAAGAAGGGAAAGGCGAATGGGAAGGGGAAGGGAAAAGCTTCGGCGAGTTCGAAGCGGAAAAAGGGCGCCGAGTCGAGCGACGAGGATGCGTCAGACTCGGACGAGGGATCTTCGCCGAAGAAAGGCAAGGGCAAGAAGGCGATCAGGCAGGCGAATGGCAAGGCGAAGCGGAAACGGGCCAAGTATGATTCGGACGCCGAATCGGGTGCGGACTTTTCGGCGACGGAGGACGAGGACGATGCGAAGGCGAAGCGGAAACGGAAGAAGAAGCAGAAGGCCGGGAGCGACGAGGAGGACGAGGACGACGATGCGCCGCGGCGGAAGAAGCGCGGCAAGAACAAGGTCAAGCGGAGCTCGTCGGACAGCGAGCAGGAAGACTCGGACGACGAGCGCAACGGGAGCGCGTCGTCGGCGAGCGAGGACGACGTCAAGGTGGCGAGACGTTCAGGCGGCCAGGCCGAAGCAGACGAGGAGACGCACTTTGTCTACCGCCTCGTCCGCCCGTACGCGCCCGTCATCGGCTGGACCGACATGCCGTGCGGGCGCTGCCCCGTCGAAGAGTTTTGCTCCGAGCCGCCTCGCCTGCGCGCCGCGTCGTACCGCCGCCCGACGCAGCTCGCCGCCAACCCAGCGAACCCGAACAAGCTCGCCTCGTCCGTCGCCGCCCCCGCTCACGCCGGCCAGCCGACGACGCGCATCGAGCTCGAGGGCGGGATCCAGGGAGTCGGCATGCTGGGCGGCGCAGGTGCGGCGATTGGCGTGTCGGATGCGAAATGGGGAGAACTCAAGGGCGGCGTCGACTACGGCGTTGCGCCCGTCAACCCGGTCGACTGCCCCTACTTCAAGACGTACCTCGACTTCTAAGGGCGACGTCGGATTCGCGTGGAGGGTCTTTGCTCGCTTGCAACGCATGATCCGTACAGAGCGACTTCTTCGCCCCGCTTCGCGTGCGGCTACGATGTGGCTGCGACTTCGCTTTGGTTGCTGCGACACTCGTCCTCGGGATAGACTGCTCAAGAGCTCTGCAAAAGCTAGCTGGCGCTTCCCTCGTCAACTCGCTCCTTCTCACCACTTCACCGCTCGCTCGTCGCAGCCACAACCTTGCGACCGCGTGCGCCTGAGACGACTGAGCGACACACGGAGACTTCATCACAGCTATGAATTGCCCCCGCCTACAGCTTGCGAGGTGGCTGGACTTGCCAGATGCGGTCCTCCTCCTCCCGACGGCGGCTGCTGTGCCGGGGGGACGCTCTGGCGCGCCAGCAGACTGGGCAGGATTCGCACACGCGAACGCTGGCCCTGCAGATCCCCTTCCGCTTCCAGCGCTTTCATCTCGTCGTCGCCGGCAGGAATTGTGGGTCGCACTCAATCAGGTCTGTTTGGGACGAGGTGCCTGTGCGCTACGGGTCTGATGCACGCTGCCACGCTTCCGCCCGGCCTTCCAGCGCGCTTCCCCTCGCCGACGTCGCTCTCCGTCTCGCTTTCTCCTCCAAGCCGGCCTCTTCTTCCTCGCGGCATCTGCTTGTTATTCTGCTGCTTTCGTGACTGGTTCCGATTCTCTTGCGTCATCAACGCCGTTGACCCACCGGCGAAGCATCCTCGTTGCTCGGTGAGTTCCCCTTGTTCTCGACTTCGTCTCCCGGGAACTCGAGCTGAGGGGCCACCCTCACGTGCAGTGCGACTAGACGGTCCGAATTGCTCAATTGGTGCTCGTAGAGTATAGAGGGAGGCGCTAGGTGAGGCGAAGATGGACCATCGTCCTCGGGAGGAGACAACTGATCCGCCTGTTTCTCGCAGACGTTCGCGATGGGCCAGTCGCAGTCGACCCAGAGTCGCTCGACACGGGTGGAACGGCGGTGGAAAGGCGACTCGCGCGAGACGGCCGACACCTCGACAACCGCAGCCCAACCTGCCAGCTCTTCCCCTCGAAACCGCCGACAAACCATCTCCCGCCGGTTCCAGCTCAAAGGGCGTCGACTGCGACAGAACACCGAGGCGCAGCGATCAATGCTCGAGGCGATGGTGCAGCAGCGCGAAGCAGAGACGATGCTCGCCGACTTGAAACGGGAACGGGATGAGCGACCGTCTGCTCCGCGACTTGCGCTTGGCTCAAGCAGCGGGCTCGAGGGTCTTTGTATCGTCGTCGGCGAGGCGAGCCCCTCGACGGGCAAGCAGGCGTCGCCGAAATTGGTAGAAGGTGGATCGTCACCGGGCCACTCGCAGGCCACGAAGATTGCGCCGGCAGGCCCTTCCTCAGACGCGACACGACTGCTTGCTCTCCCTGACACAAGCACGATGCCCCTCTCGTACCACCTTCGCTCACCCACGCCCGGACTCTCGACCTCCTCCTCCACTGTTCCCTCGTCCCCCTGCCCCGACCTCCCGACGCCCAAATCGCACTGGTCCGAGTCCTCCGTCGGCACTCCTACGCCCCAACTCCCCTTCCAGTCCTTCCGCGACTCGCTCAACCTGAACCGCCTCTCACAGCTCTTCCCCAGCGGCACGTCCTCTAGCGGGACCCCGTCCAGCCCGCGCTCTCCCGACATGGAGCGGCTTTGCGACATATCGTCGACCGATAAGGTCGTGACTCAGCGGTGTGAGCAGACGAAGCGACGGAAGACGGGCGCAGGGCGGCCGCAGATCGTGGTTGTCGACGCGCAGCCCGTGGGCGCGAAGCGGTACTCCCAGATGATGACGGCGGAGGAGACTCTACAGGATGAGCTCGGGTGTAGCGAGCGGAAGGGCAGTACGGGCGGTGCGAGTATTGCGACGATCAAGCCGACCGGTGCTCGCAAGGCCAGCGTCGTCTCGACAGCAGGATCTGTCGACGTCTGGGACAGCGACATCCCGTGGCCTGGCATGCGACAAGCGCGCACATCGACGCCTGACGTTGCTCTTTCGCCTCGCTTCTCGACGACACCCGCTTTCCTCGCCCAAGCGGAATGCCTCGACGACTCCCTTCGCCGTGCGTCCGACCGACGGAACACCTACAAGCGACGCTCCTCGACTCTCGACTTGACTGGCTACGTCGCCGCGTCGCCAGAACTCGCTTTCCCTTCGGCAACAGCCAGCCTCACCTCGCTCGTCTCGTCCTCCCCTTCACCGCCTCTCCCGCCCAAGCCTTTCCGTCGACTCTCGCAGATGCGCGCACCCGCAGGACACCCTGCCAGCCACCACTTGCGGTTCTCTCGTGCATCGTCGACTTCCCCTTCGTCCCCTCGCAGCTCCTCCTCTTCCCGCCCGCCAAAGATCTCGCCGCCGGCAGCTGGACTGCCTGCCAACGCAAAGTCGCCTTCTCCTACTCTTCTCGCACTTCCTCGCCGTCGGTCGAGCGCAGGTGCGCCCCTCGCATGGCGAGGACGGCTCGACTCGGTTGCGGAAACGGCGGCGAGTTCCGCCCGAGGAGGAGACGAGGTCCCTGTCAGGTTTGGACCGGGCGCGAGCAGGAGGCGCTCGAGCGTACGACGGTTCACGAACTGCACGAGCGCGAGCGACGTCTCCTTCCCGCACTCGATCGGTACGGAGGATGCGGAATCGTCGCGCTCGCCTGTTCTTCCCGTGACAGCCGCGCCCTCGCCGACCGGCCGGGACCTCCCGCCTCTTCCGGCGGCTACCTCGGACATCGACTTCTCCGGCTACACCCTCGGCAAGCCCGCGACTCGCCCCGTCTCCTGCATCTCTACCGGTTCCGACCTTCCTCCCGAACTCGTCGACGCTTTCCCCGCTCCGCCCCTCCCACCCTTGCCGCCGTTCGCTCGTCCTCGCGTACCCGCCAAGCTCGATCTCTCCCGACAGGCCCGCGACTCGATCTTGACGGCAACGGCATCCAGTTCGCGAAGCCTTCCTTCACACGCCTCGACCCCGTCCACCTCCTCGTTCGCCTCTTCGCTCACATCGCAGGCGTCGATAGACCTGGGACCAAAGTCGGCTGGCCCGGTAGTTTCGGTCGACTTTGGTGCCGCAACTTTGACGGGCAAGACGTACCGACCGCCCTCGAGTGCCGGCTCTGTCGCGACTTTCGTCCTCGAGGACATCATCGACGAGTTGAACGGTCTGCACGTCAAGGAGGAGAAGGCTGGACTGACTGGTCGTTGCGAACGCCTCCTCTCGCTTGAGCAGCCGGACCCGCAACTCGCCAAAGATCTTGCGCCGACTGTGCTCGCCTCGAGAATCGTGCCGCAGGCGCGCTCTCCGCCTCGCTTCCAGTCGTTCTTCTCCCTCGACAAGCCCATCTCGACTTCGAAGCCGCTTCCCGCTCTCGTCTCGCCTCTCTCGCACGCACTCCTCGACGAGTCGCGCTTCAACTCGCCGCGCTTCTCGCCACAGACGCCCGGCTCGGCGCGTCTCGCAACCGACAAGCTGCACGACCTCCCGCCTTCGATGCCAGCCTCGCTCGAAACGTCACCCGTCCCACCGCAGAAACCCTGGACAAGCCGACCTCGGATCGCTTCCGCCGACGCCGCACACCGCGCTCTCACGCAACAAGCCGAAGCGAGGCGCGACACGTACCCGACATTCGTCCCGCCTTCTCAGCGGACGCAGGAGCCCAACTTGTTTGACGCGCTGCTCGAGCAGGCTTTGCGGGTGGATGAGCAGGGTGGCAAGAGCGGCGGTGCGACGAGGGAGCATAGGCTAGGGAGCAAGGATAAGCGCGGGTTCGACAAGGCGGATATTGGAGCGTGGCTGGATAGGGCGAGGAGGGAAAGCGAGGAGCACGCGCGAATGAGGGCGGTTGTGCGGGTGTGAGGTAGAGGCGTAACCCATCAGTAGATGAGATGTGTGAGCAAGCGCCGTTGAAACGCAATGTGGCGCGTGAAGAGCGAGAAGAGCCAGAATATGAGCGACTCGTCGATGCTTCGGGAGAGGGACGAAACTCGCGATGCGACGATGCGATAGTGCGAATGCAAGTAATAGATGCGGCTCTACTCGGTGTAGTACTGCATCGTGAGCGACTTTTGATCGAAGACGACGCCGCGCTGCGGGTCCTTCGGGTGCTTCGGGTGCTGGCGAGGGTTGAACCTCTTCTCGCTACAGCAAAAAGAACGGGGATGAACCGACCAGAGCAGGGGAAGGGTCTCTACACCAAGTCGCTACCCTCGGCGCGCGCGCCCCTGGAAGCGTAGGACGCCCAGAAGCCGGTCTTGCGCTTGAGGTGCTTGTTCATGGCGTCCTCAAGGGCCGCGGTGCGGTCGACGATGCGGATGAAGTCGTCCTTGTAGATGATCTTGCGCAGCTTGGGGAAGTTCTTGAGGCAGATGGGGTGGCCGAGGCAATCCATGGGCGTCTTCAGACCGATCTCCTCGACGGGCGGCATGAGGCCAGCGTTCCAGAAGAGGACGACGATGAGGCGCTCCTCCGGCGTCTTGGCCCAGAAGGGCGTCGAGCAGTGGCGGTAGTTCCTGAACGGCGCCGAGACGCACTGGCCGCCGCGGATGGGGATCTGCGCGAGGAGGTCGGAGATGAGGAGGTCGGCACCTGTGTGACGAGAGGGTCAACTCCGGGCAAGCGACGAAGACAAGGCTCGAGCGAACCCTCCCATTCGCCGGCCGCCGCGAGAACGAAGCCCTTCACCGCCTTAGGATCGCTCCAGTCGATGTGAGGGAGCTCGGTCGCGCCGCACGACAAGGCGACGCACGAGGCGACGGGACCCAAGTCGATCCATTCGTACTTGCCGTAGGCCTCGCGATGGACGAGGCGAGCGTACGCCCAGAGCCTGTGAGCGGTTGGGAGCGAGTGAGTCAGTGATGAGACCGAGGGAGCGTAAGGGAGCAGAGGAGGCGAGGATCGAGCGCGCGGGAGAAATGGCGGCTCACTCGAGCAAGCGCAAGGCCTCGTTCTTGTTCCGCGCGTAGACCTTCTCGAGGAGGCGAGGAAGGACGAGAGCGCGAAAGCGGCGGAGGAAAAGTTCTGCCGCCTCCTCGTTGGCCCGCGTCTCGCTGGTCACGCACGCCTCCGTACGTTGCGGACACCACACTCCCAGGTGGATGCCGACGTCCGGCACGCTGCGAGACTTGGACGTCACGTCGACCTGCACAGGCGTCTTCTTGCTGGCCAGCGGGAACTGCTTGTTGAGGATGCCGCGGAGGACGAGCTGCCATTTCCTGTACTCGGGGTCGACCTTCTCGCGCTTCGGCGGGTTCTGCTTGGCCTTGTCGATGAGCGGCTGTCGAGGAGCTGTCAGCGCCAGATCGACTTGACGGACGGGAAACGAAGGGGCACTTGCCTGGAGGATGTCGAGGATCCAGCGACGGAGATCCTGCGCGCCGCGCTCGCTCAGCAGGTCATCCCGCCACGCAGCGAGATCCTGGTTCATGTCGCGGATCGTAACGGGACGGTCGGCCGCCTCCTTCTTGATCTTGAGCTCCAGGTCGGCGTGAATCTCGTCCAGGGATTTCTTCTCGTCCTTGCACATCTGGATCTTGTTGTTCTTGGGTCGGTCGGGGTAGTTGTGCACGCTCTTGGGGTTGACGGCGCGCTCCACTGGGGACCAACGAGTCAGGCGAGGGGACAACGGCGGGGGAGAACTCGTACGCACAGTCTCGCTCGTTGCACTTGGCGGCCCGCTCGTTCACCCGCAGCAGGCTCTTGTCCTTCTTCCACCGCTGCAGACCGTCGTGGTACTCGGCGCCTTTGCGCAACGCCCATTCCCGATGCCTCGCTGCCCTGTGGCGAGCTTTCGAGTTGCCGGGCTGCCGTTCTCGCTGGAGGGTCTTGTGGCCGTCGCCGCGCTTGCCCGACGGTTTGCGAGGCACGGTCGATGAGTCCTTCGAGACCCGCGCCATCTCGAGCGAGTCTTAAGCGCGTCTCGAGCGTGGCGATGTGGTTGGTGGGAAGCGAAGAGGCGCCGGCTCGCGCAAAGCTCGCTTCTTGGCCTCATCCTTGCTCGCTCGCTGCTCCTAGGCGAGTACGACCGCGCAGTAGTGCTCGCTGCTCATCGCCTGATCCTGTACACCGCTTCCCACACGCCCGCTATGTCTGGCCATCGTGAGTTGGGTCCTCATCGCTTCTCCTCCCGATGACGGTTCAAACAGCGAGCACGACGTGTGCGGGGCGTGGGTCGGGGTCTGTGGGTGTTGTGGGATCAGCTGACACGCTCTCCGTCTCGTGCAGTGCTTCACCCGCATCTCGACGAGGACCCGCGCGGTTCCCTCGTCATCCTTCCCTCCGAGTCGACGTCGGTGCGCTCGTTTGACCGCTCGCACTGTCGCCACCGTCCTTGCGGTCGCTGACGGTCCCTCGTGCAGCTCGAACAGCAAGGCAGTGCCTTCACCGCCATCGCGAGCAAGGTCAGGCCCCTCCTCGTCTCTTCTTTCTGGCGCTGCTGACGCTGTTCATCTTGCGCAGGCGCGCGACTACGGCCTCAAGATTCTCTCGAATATGGTGAGCATAACGAGTCGCGCAGCGGACGGCGCTTTCTGACCGTTGATCCTGGAAGCAGAACGACAACGCGAATCTGCTTCCCTCGAGTCCGCCTCTCGTCGACCGGCTGTACGAGTCGCTCGAGCCGCGCGTCCAGGCGGGCTGGAACCGGCTTTACCAGCGCTACATGTTCGCCTCGCACGGCGCGCTCGTACGTCGCCCTCTTCGATCAGGTTGTACGCGCGCTGACATCGGCGCTGCGACAGCTTGGCACCGGCGAAACTTGCCAGAGCATGCAGCAGGCCATCCTCCTTGGAAGCTTCGTCGCCGAGACCTTCAAGCAGAGCAAGCCCATGCTGCTCGTCGTGCCGGAAACCGCCGCTGGCGTCTGGCGCGAGTGCTTCGACAAGTGCGTCCCGGTCGTTCTCGCCCTGATGCGAGCACTCACTCACTTGCATCTGCGGGCGACAGATTGGCCCCCTCGCTCTCCCTCGTCAAGCTCGAGTCTTCGACGACCGACTTCTCCGACATCCAAGGCTTACTCGGCGTATCGCAGCCGCAGACGCCGCGTTCGCTTGCGGACGTCATCGACGAGTTCGGCCTCAAGAGCGCTAGGGAGGAGGAATCGCTCTGGCCACAGACAATCGCAGGCGAAGGAGAGACTTTCCCCGTCGTCGTGGTAGACCGTGCGCTCCTGGTCCTCTGTTCCCTTTGGCGTCCGTTGCTGACACTCGTTGCGTCTCGTCTCGCAGCTGAGACCTTCAAGTCTGGCATCGAGGTCTTCTGGCAGGCCACCTACAGCCTGCTGCTCATCGTCGAGCCGGAGTTGTGGCCGGCAGGGTGAGTCTCGCGTCCTTCTTCTCGCTTTCCATTCTTCCCTCGTGCTGGCTGACTCGGATGGACTGCAGTGCAGCACACCCGACCAGCTCGCTTTCGTGCGGTCCGACTTTCGCCTTGTTCTCTCGGACTCTCCCATGGTCAGCCTGCGGTCTCCTGCTCTGCGGCTTAAGCTGACCTGATCAACCGACCAGCCCGACGCCACTGTCGAGTCCTACGACCGCCTCGCCTTAATCCTCCCCGAGATCTTCCACCACCGGCAGCCCTTCTTCGACATCTACGACCCCTCGAACTGCAGCGGTCCCGTCGGGCACCTCGCCAGCGTCGAGATGAAGAATGTCCTGCACGCTGCGCTGGAGTTGTGGGTGTTGGACGAGGACGAGGAGGGGGAGGAGGAGGAGGAGGAGGAAGAGATGGCGGTCGAGGATGACGAGGAAATGAGTGGGTAGACGGGTGGGATTTTGTTATCGGGATTGAGTAGGTGTTTGTGCTACGTCAAGAAGCACTTGCGAGCGCCTAGAGAGCTCACAAGTCTGGGTGAGCGCCAGTACGATGACAGCGAGAGGACGAGGACAAGCTCGGGCAACAAAGACATCGGCAGGCTTCCTGCTGCTCTGCTGTCCTCGGCGATCCCCGTCTGACAGCTCTGCCAGCGCGAGCATGCAATCTTCTAGAAAGACGAGACGAGGCAGCAGCGGAGTAGGACACAAGAACACACCTGCACAACGATCGCTGTGAAATCTCGGATGGTCGAGTTGGTCTGCACTTCTCACATCTTAAGCGTGCTCGCTTTGCGAAGTCTAGTCTCATTGCTACCCAGGGTTCGATTCCTGTGTGCATTGCGAGATTCTGGCTTCGTTTTTTTTTTTTTTTTTTTTGCTTTACCCAGAGGCGGATCCTCTCCCGCAGGCCTTGAGGAACCTCTTTTCTTTTTGTGCGGAAGCGCGCAGAGCACCACCCGATGGAAGAGGAAAGTCCCCCTCCAGGTGGTGAAGCGACTCCCTCCTCCCTCCAGCCAAACTCGCAAACACTCCCTTCAGTCTCGTTCAGGCTTGCTCTGCTCGGTTTCCAAGCTATTCGGGCGGAAGAGCTTTGCTACACCACCCGCTCATGTCGCTCAACCCCCTCCCTTCGCCCTCCACTTCGGACAGGGCGATGAGGACCATCGCAACGACAGACGGCTTCGCAGGGAACAAGGCGGGCCGTAGGCGGGTGCAATGACTTGTGGAACGCGCTCGACACGGCTACGGAGCCAGGCGAGCACGATGCCGCGCGCGGGGACGCACCTGTCCTCCCTCTCCAACCTCTCCCGCGCCTTTTCTGCTTGACACCTTTGATACAGCCCTAGCTGTTTGTGGGAGAACTTTTACACACCCCTCGCGTCACCTGCTAGACTCGACGAGCCACCGCGACGGGTTTTCCCCGACGCGACTTCACCGCACGACTGGCGAAGCCGCAGATCGAAGCTCACGGGGATGCGAGGGAGTGGCGAGGGGTACGGGGATATCGAGACGACTTCCTAGGACTGGGTGTACGTCCCCTTCTTACGGTTCACAGCTCCCGAGGCCGTTCAAGGGCAGACGGTCCAGCAGGAAGTCAGCGGCGGCTGGGAGCGGTATAAAATGACAGAGGGCGTCAAGGGGGTCTACAAGGGTGAACCTGTGCGTTCGCGAGCTTCCAGCACTCGGGATTGGCACGCGAAGTCGGCGAGACGCTTGCGCTGACCAGCAGATCGTTATTTTCGTGCACAACCCCCAGCAGTCCACGTCTCCAGCTCAGCTGCATCCTCGTATACCACTCTGGGTCCAGACTACAAGCTACCAGCGTCGCGAGACCACTCTTTCAAGACCTCCTCTCGTCGACCTCGCCGCAGGTTTGTTTCATTCCACACGCTTACACTCGAGCGCTAGCTGAGTTTCCAGGTCACCGCAGGCAGCAACCGTCCTCCAACTACCCCTCGAACACATCTCACCCGCTTCGGCTCCCAAACGCCGCCGCTGCAAACTTCCCCTCCTCCCACCCGAAAAAGCAGCTCTTTAGTTCGCCTCTCGACTCTAGCCGCACGAGGACCACCTCGCCCTCTCCTTATCACGTCACTAGACCTCACGCACCTCGAGCGGAGCAGCTCGCACCGCGGCATCACTCGGTAGAGCCCACAGAGGCTTAAATTGTATCGACATGGCTATCTTCTCGTAGACACGCGGTGCGAAGCATGATGCAAAAACGTTGCAGAGACCTACGCGCGGCAGAGTGTACGGAAAAGGAAAAGGGAGGACAACATCAAGCGAAGAACCGACGAGCGAAGAGCGGGGTTTGGCGGCCTAGCTCGCCTCGTCGAGTGCCTCGGAGATCTCTTCCGAGCTGCCAACGCAAAGTAGTCAGTGCTGCAATTGTGAGGAAGAGCTGAAGCGGGAAGGAAGGCAGCCTGATTCTTGCAGAGCGGAACGCACCAGATGTTCCTGCGGCAGATGACGAGCCCGCTTTTGAGCAGGGTCTTGACGAGCAGGCCGAACGTGCGCCCGGCAGGCTGTCCGTTGACGCCGTAGTATCGACGGCCACCGCAGATGGAGGCGACCGTGTGGCAGTCGAGTTCGTCACCCAGCACCTCGAGGATCTCCTTCCACAGGGCCTGCAACTTCTCCCCCAGCTCGGTGCTGCCCCAGACCTCGTCTACAGGCTCAAGAACAAGGCCCAGGTTGTCGAGGAGGGTCGAGATCAGGCCGTCAGCCTCCTGGATGCCGCGCGTGTCGAGTAAAGGCATCAGCAAACAGCTGCAACGACGTGGGAAGCGGAGAGCGCACGATCATGTAGCCATGCTGAGCTGAGATGTAGTCGACCTTGAGCTTTGGCTGGTAGCGGTCGGGGCGGCGACCCTCGGCGTCGCCTTGTACGATCCGCCAAGTCGTCTTGATCTGCTGGTCCTCCGGAAGCGCGTTGTTGATCGTCTGCAGCAGGCTCTTCATGCACGCCGGCAGTGACTGCTTGCTGATGGTGACGAAGATTGAGGGGTCGACGCCGAAGATGCCGATGTCCTCAAGCCAGTCACGGTCAGGTTTGTTGCGCTGTGAGCCAGATCTCGTCAGTTTTGCTTGTGCGCAGACGTGAGCGCTGTGGTACGTACCTTGCGAGCCCCGCGTCCAACGTGCGTGCGGTTCCAGAGAACGCTGTACAGCTCAGGAGGAAGTCCCAAAGCTTCCGCCTCCCGCTCTTCGCGCGCCTTCTGTGCCTTCAGTCGGAGGGGGGTCTGTGTGATCAGATGGTCAGCAGAGCTCGCGAGGATCCCGGATTGAGACGCGGGAAGGAGAGTTCGGGACGCACGTAAATTTCTGACATAGCCGAACGCGCCGCGCGCATCGAGACGAGGTCATTGCGTGCCGGTGGCTTCTCGACCAGCTTGTACTTGAGGATGAGCTTCTTGACCGGCGCGGGGACGACTCCCCAGCGAGTCGAACGGTTCGAGCGGATCTCGCGCCCGGCGGCGATGCTGAGCAAGTGCGCGGGGGAGAGGCCGCCCTTCCCCTTGTTCTTGCTTGCGCCAGGGATCGCAAAGCGTCGCCCGCCCCAGGTCTTCTCCTCCACCAGCGCAAGCGCCTTTTCCCACATCTCCTCGTACCAGTCCTCGAACTCCAAATCCGCTCGCTGCGCCACGACCTCGAACGGCTCGTAGGCGGCGCCCGGTCCACCGCGTGCCTGCTTCGCCTCATTCAGACGGCTGGCGAGAAGCGTGTAGAGTGCCGACACGAGCAAGCCGGGAGGGAACTCCTCGACAGCGGGTTCAGGCGCGCCATCGAAGTCGACCGGGAGGCGGAGGACGGTGAGCGACATGGCGATGGTCTTCTTGAGCAAGAGGGCCGACTTGATCGCCGAGTTGAGCGAGCGCTCCGCGAGGGTGGAGTGGTGGAAGTTGAAGATGCGGCAAGCGTAGCCGAACTCGAACGTTTCGACGCCGAAGACGGTCGGCTCGTCCTTCAGGATCTTGTCTAAGCCGAAAGCGCCGCGCACGTCGGACGAGTGGCCGAAGATGTTGCGGAAGGCGATACGGTACGTCGAGAACAGGCTCTGCGCAAGCGCTGCGAGTCCAGTCGTCAGCGGTTGGACGACAGTTCACTGTCGACGGCATCGGCGCACCTTTGAAGCGCTGGTACTGGAAGCGGAGAAGGGAGGCGGGGGCGGTAAGGTTCTCTGTCGGCTCCTGACCCGTCTGCTCGCGATAGCATGCGCGCTTGTAGGCGCCTGCGCAGCGGCTGAAGTGCAGGTCCTGTACATTTGAGGGCGTCAGAGGTGTTCAGCAGAAACTTCGGCGGCGCCACGCACGTGCAAGACGACCTTGGTTCCGCCGTTGTTCTGCTCGAGCTCCTCCTTGCAGACATGCTCGTGGTCCGCCGTCGGTCCATGGCTCCTCCACTTCCCATGACTGTTCTTTGCCGCCAGCGTCGGACCGCCCGGCAGCACACACATCTCGAGAATCATGTCGACCATCCTCGGCTCGCGTTCGCAGACGTCCTCCGACTCCTGTTCGGCAATCTCCTGCTCGAGTTGCTCGAGGAGATCGGTCGTGTCGATCGGATCTTTGCCGAAGAACGCATCGGGACTCCAGCTGTCCTCATCGAGGAGCGGGTCGAGGTCGAGCGCGAGCTCGTCGGCCGCCGCCTCGTGAACATGGCGAAGGAAGGTATTGTTGAGCTCGGTCGGCGAAACGTAGCCGCTGGCGACCTCGTTGAGGAAGTCGTGCCAGATGCGGAGACGGCCGGCGCGCCAGGGACCGGGGCGGAAGAAGGCGAGGAGGGGATCTTGAGCGGCTTGGTCGGCCTGCTGGCGGGCTTTGTTGATAGGCACGACAACGCGCTCAATCGTCTTCTGCGTGCGCTTTTGGGACGTCTTCGGCTTCTTAGCCTTCGTGATGGTCTTGACCGTCTTCGGGCGGAGCGAGCGAGTCGACGTCTGCGGGATCGCCGTCATGGGTACAGCCTTGGCGCGTGTGGCGGGAGGGCGGAGAGGCCTTGCCGAGGAGGACGACTGGGTCGAGCGAGCGGAAGTTGTGGCGAGCTTCGACGCTCCACCTGGACGGCGCGCGGACGTCGACGCCTCTGCTTCGTCGTCGCCAGCGTCGGAGGAGTCGTCGTCGGGCAGAGATGCGAGAGAAGAGTCGGAGGAGGGTCCACCGTCATCCGATTCGCGCAACGCCTTCTCCGCCTCGCGCTCGACCGCCTCGAAGGCGTCTCGCTGCGACAGCCCGAGCACCCACAGCTCCGCCTGCTTTTCCAACCGCTCGTCCTTCCAGTCCGTCGCCTCATCGTCGCTGTCAGCGCCCTCCGTCTTGTTGACCACCTTCCTTGTGCGCTTCGACGAGGTAGTGGCGGTCGGGCTGTTGTAAGCGTCGGAGGCGTCGGAGGCGTCGGAAGACGAGCTGTCCAGCATCGGCGCAGACTTGTGTGCCCTGCGAGGGTGCTTATGGGCCGGCATAGTATGCGGAGGGGTGAGCGAGTGAGACGAGCGAGTGAGATGAGGGACATCACCTCCATCCGCGGATTCTGCCGGCGCCTCTCGCACTTCCTGGCGGTCAGCACTTGTGCTCAGTGAATCGAACGCTCGACAGGAGGCTCTCGCGGTATGCTCGCTCGTCGGCGCGCGCAAGAACTGGGGGACCTTCCTAGGTTGCGAAAGCGAGGATGGAGGCGAAGGACAGCAATGCAGACTGGGTGAGGCGCCTGAGCAAAGAGACCGGCTCTACCGGAGACCTATTGCTCGGAAGAAGCAAACGTCAACAAACGAAGCGGAAGTGCCGGATGCGAAGCGGGAAAATGCACCTCTAAACGACCGCCACGCTCCAGCCCTCGTGGTTGTCCTCTCCGAACTGGATCGCCCGCAGCTTGTGGAAGAAAGCAGATGCAACCATGCCGAAGCCCGGCTCGCGCCCGCCCATGACGGGGACCGTGATCTCCTCCTCGCCGTAGCGGATGCCCTCGACGGCCGTGACGACGACGGGGGACAGCAAGAAAATGGCATGCGCGACGATGTCTGCGTTGGCAACGGGTCAGCCGGGTGAAGGAGAGTCCAGAAGAGCGAACTCACAGAAGATCAGGATCAAGCCCTTGATGAAGGTGACGACGAAAAGGGTGAAGCGGGAGTGTCGAGCCCAGAGGAAGGCGATGGTGAGATGGACGAAGAGCGGGATTGCGCTGCGACGGCAAGATCAGTCTCGAAGAGCGGGTGAAGAAGCAAGCTGGAACGAACGCGATCTTGCTGGCCTTCTGGTCGAAGGAGGCGAAGAGTAGGCCGGAGCCGATGAGCGTTGAGGCAATGTCTGCGGACACAGTATTAGCTTTGCTCGGAGTCAGTCGCGGGAGGAAGAAGAGCGCACCCGCCGGCAGCATGCTCGAAAGCGTAGCCGACGTGATCAGCGACCGGGATGTACATGGTGACACGCGAGCAGGCCTCAAGCTCAAGCCTTCGCAGCAGGGCAAGCGAAGCGGGTGCTGAAAGAAGAAGAGTGTGAGGCGAAGGCGTCGGGATGGCGAGTCCGCGGACCCTCCGGCGAGACGTCTCATCAAGACCAGCGCCAGCGTGGAAGGGCGAGTCGACGAGAACAAGGCGGTTGCAAGAGTTGCGAGTACTGAGTAAGGCGGGCTACATGTCGAGACGTAAGGGTATGTCGAGTCGAGGCGAAGGGCGAAGGCGAGGTCGAGGTCGAGACATCACTGCCATCGCTTGTGAGACTTCGCTGAAGGGCGCATCATCGCGGGTATTCTGCCGGGCTGAAAGTGTGAGCAAGGCCAGACGGAAGGTGGAGATGCGGGACGCACGGCCATTCGGTGAGACCAAACGGCTTGTCCTCCCTCGAAGCCGAACTCGCCGCCAAGCTGCTTGATATCTCCAGCCGGTGAACTTGTCCGGCAGCGTGACCTCGGCCTCTTGCAGCCGTCGGTCCTCCATGTCCTTGTGGATGCGAGCGTACTCGGCGAGGAAGGCTTCTTGCATCTCGTCCGAGATGTAGGCTGGGAGAGCGTACGCGACGGTTGGTCGAGGCGCCTCGGGCTCCTTCGCCTCCGCCTCCTCCTTGTCCGCGTCGCCAGACTCGCCCGCCTCCTTCCTCGCCTTTGACCGCAGCTTCCGCTCCTTCTTCTTCCTGTTTTGCTCCGCCTTAGCCGCCGCCGGATCCCGACTCTCGATTCGCTGCTTCACGAGCTGCTTCATGTTCTCGGCGGCGACGTTGTGAACCTTGAGCAGCCGCTCCGACTCCCTGTTCGGCCTGCGCTCCCACGGCGCCGGGTTCTTGGCGAGAGGCGCGGGGAGGATGTACCAGGGTTTGGGCGAGCCAAGGGCGGGAAGACAGTGCTTAGTGCCGACGGGGACGGGCTGGAGCATCCAGATCAGGTCGATGAACGAGACGTTGACCGTGTCGGACGGCATGGCGGGTGGGAAGGTGAGGAGGGGATGGTGAGAGGAGTTTGGCACGCTTGCAGTCGGATCTGCGGAGAGTGGCGTTGTCAGTAAACTCCCTTGAACGCTCTGACAGACCAGCAAGGCCACGCACTGCGTTGTCGTCGAGTTTGAACTTCTTCCTCGAGGACGACTGATGAGGATCAATCGGCGATAGAAGAGCGTTGGGCGTCAGGCGGGCCAGCTGGATGGGTCACGAGTCCTTGTAAAAACCGTCTCGCAAGCTGCAGCAAGCGTTAGAGCGTGAGCGAGGGTGGCGACGGACGTCGACCTCGTTGCTGTCCCCTTGCGGGCGGGTTGGCTTCGCTCACACCGTCAACTTCGCTAGATCCTGTAGCTCAGCTGCTCAACTGTCTCTTACAGCTGACTTCGCCGTCCCGGACGGCGCCGCTCGACCTCTACGAGCTTTGTTCCCGCCTCACCTCTTCTTTCGCCAGTTCCGTTGCCTGAGCGGATCTCACAGCTTTGAACGCTTTGGAACGGGTTGATGCTATTCGCAGACCTCACTTGAGCCGTTACGCAGCAAGAAGGAATTGTCCAACCCCTGTTCTCCACGCTCGAGCCTACGGACCCGAGCTTGTTCGTCTCTCGCTTCATGACCTCTTCGCTTCGCCCGCGTTCAGCTATGACTCAGCGAAAAGGTCATCCCATCAACCCTACTGTTGCCTTTCCAAGCTACAAGCTCTGGCCGCCCAAGGGCGCGTCGTTCTCGACTCGGCACGACTTCGTCCTCGCAATCCAGTTGGCGGCTCTTCGAGTCGGTATGACGGACCTCGAGGTTCACTGGCGCGAGGGGCACCACGCGCCGCTTCTTATCAGCCCGGCGCGGTATGAGGATGAGGGGGAGGACGACTTCGACACCAGGATTCTCGCTCGTGCGAAGCCTGTCAACGCCAGCGATGCTTGCGAAGATGCTTGGACGCTGTTCGCGTGGAACAAGAAGCTCGTGACAAAGCATCTTTGGTTTTGCGAAGACCGGGGGCTACGAGTCTTCGTTAACGAGCGTGTACGTCTCTATTGGCTTTCAACCGTTGTGCACGCCCATTGACTCTGCTCTTCACAGTCCTCGGTGGCCCATACGATTGAGCTCTCGCTGAATACGATCATTGTCGGTCGCGGCCACCGCTGTGTTCTTGAAGCGGCCCTTCGTGTCCACGCTCGCTGCAAGGGCCGTTTCCTCGACGTATCGACGCAGGGGCCTACACTCAACGACCATCTCGTCTTTACCTGCGCAGCCTCAAGCTGCTGCTACCGCGTACAGCTCGAGGCTTGTGGTGCCGCAGACGAATGGCGCTGCACCGGCTTGCACCCGGTCCACGACTGCGACATCGCGGCAGGCGAGCGCACTCCTCCCCTGAAGCGGTGTTTGCGATACTTTGTGAGTTCTCACCCAGTCTTTCCCGTGTCCTTCGCTGATGAACGCCCGGTAGCCCCGAATCGACTTTAATTGGTCGCCGTTTTCACCGTCATCACCCTTGTACCGCCTTTCTCCTCCTGCCAATCCTCCGGAACGCAAGTTTTCGGTGTCGTCCGCCTCGATGGGAGCAGAAACGTACCGGAAGCCTGACGTCCTGAGCCTCAAAGACGACGACGAACCAGACGACGAGATGACCGCCCTTGTCGCCGGTGACCCTTTCCGCACCGGTTCTCCAAACGTTCTTCGTCGAGACATGGACGAAAACGACGCATCGAGACATACCGGTACGCCAGCGCAGACGGTCGAATCTGGTCGACCTTCGCAAGCCTCGACGACGGGCGTCGTACCTTGTAATACCGCCACCGGACGGTCTGATCCGGCTGGACCGCTTGCGGACGAGATTGTCGCGCTGAGGGCACATCTCGCCGCGGTCGGACGACGCCTCGAAGCCCGCATTGGGCGGCAGCAGCAGGAGGGGGAGCTCGAGCTGAAGGCGGCTCACGCCGAGATACGCGGGCTGAACAAGAGCATGCACAAGCTCCGGCTGAAGCAGAAGCTGTGGATGGAGAAGAAAACGGCGAAGAGGGCGGCGAAAAAGCTGAGGCAGAAGCTGAAGAAGCAGAAGAAGGCGAAGCAGACCACTTTGTAGATCTCCGTTGGCTCGCAACTTCAGCCTTCCGTCGCAACTGAAAGCGAGGTGACTTGCAAAAAAACAGCAACAAGTGGAAAGACATGCAGCGCACGCCGTTCGAACCGAAGACAGCTAGACTCCCTGCCACCCCTCGTCCGCCCTCGCCTCGCTCCGAGACGCTTCGCCAACGACTACTGCCGCGCCTCCCAATCCCGCCGACGACTCTTTCCGCGCGACGGCGGGCGTCGGAGCCGGCGCATCCTCCTCGCCTTCTGTCGACTGCAACTCCCAGTCCTCTGGCTCGCTGAATCCAGCGCTATCCGCATCTCCGACGTCTTCGCCGGCAACTTCGGAGAACGAATCGTCGCCAAGCGCAGGCGAGAGGGCGGACATGGTGGCTGGTGCGGCGGAAGAGGTCGAGCGGCGCATCCAGCTGGGAGGGGACGGGGCGATGGCAAAGATGGGCGAGGAGGCTTGCGATAGCTGCGAGGCCGAGCGTCAGTCTATCACTCGACGTGCGAGAGGCACAAGCACAGCGCACCTCCTGTACCCGCACCCGAAAGTCCTGCCAGTCCCGCTCGTCCTCGACGAGGAAGCCCAACAGCATGCTCGGATCAAGGTTCGACAGCGCGCACTTGCGGACCTTGTCGGTGTGATACGTCGCCCACGCCGCGTCTGGGTAGGCGGCCAGGAGAAAGTCGTCGAGTTGCCGCGCAGACTCGTTCGCGGGCGTGTCAGAGGTGGAGGGTGCGAGCGGCAAGTGCTGGGCGGCGCGGACGAGCGAGTCGTCGGGAGGAAGGACGAGAGGTACGGCGGGCCGAGGGTGGTGGGGGTCGATGTAGAAGAGCGAGTTCGCTTGCGCGCCGACGAAGTAGTAGGACGACGAGGGGCGACCGCCAGCGATGCCGACCGACTGCGAGAGGCGGAAGATGCCCTGCAAGTATACGCTAAGGTAAGCATGATTGGCCTTCTTGCGTAAGCAAACGCGCGCACCTTGATTGCCTCGTAGTAGATCGGGTTGACGCCATCTATCCCGAGGCGGACGTTGATGAGCACCAGCACCGGCATCTTCCACTTCTCGCCGTCTCGCATTGACGCAGCCACAACTTCGCTCTCATAGACGGTCCCATCGACGCAGCTGACGACCTTGAGGCCGGCCGGCTCGTACGCGTTGACGAGGGTCTTGATCGCGCCGGCGGCTGTGGACGGGCCAAACCATTCGCCTATCTCTTTGCCAAGCAGTTTGCCCTGCTGGGCGAAGCGGTGGACGGAGAAGGGCGAGATGGGCGAGGGGTCGTCGAGAAAGAGCGAGAGGATGCGGGCGTAGGTCGCGGCAGAGGGGACGGGTGAGGGCGAAGGGACGGATTCGCCGGTGGGTAGAGGTCGCCGCCAATCTGCGGAGGAGCGGGCGTCAGCTGGGCCTTCTCTCAACGGCACTGCGAGACTGGGAGGATAACGCACCTCGCCCGAGGTGGACCTTGACCAACGCATTCGCCAACAAGCTCTGCCCAGTCCTAAGCATGCACCCCCAGCCCGTATCGCTGCTCAGCCCGCCCTCCGCATTCGTCGGTGACGGTCCGCGATGCCCGCCCCGTCCGATACTCATGCTCAGGTTATTGCGCATGCCCTGGACGACGCCGGTCGAGGAGGAGGCGGGGTCGCAGGGGATGATGGGGAAGCCGGAACGGTAGGTGAGGGCAATGCGGGAGTAAAAGTCGTAGTAGAAGGCAGCGGGCCAGCCGTTGATCGTCGAGGGTAGTGCTGAGGGAACGGAACCGAGCGAGGTGGTCGAGTCGTTCTGCACCCCGGGAGTCGTGACGAGGAAAGGGTCGTCGTCGGCGATCGGTAGCTGCGTCGACGCAGCCGATGGGGTCGGAACGGGCGGGACCTTCCTCGCCTTGACCGGACTCTTCCCCTTCCTGCCCAAACTCGACAAGCTCTTCTTCTTTCTGACCTGGTCCTCCACCATTTCCTCTGCTTCTCCCATCTCATCCGCCTCCGCCCTCCATCCCGGATGCCGCACGCCCAACACCCAAATATCCTCCTCGCACTTGTCCGCCTGCGAGTCGGTATCGAGGAAATACTGCACCGCGCGATCGAGCATGCGGTCGAAGGGTCCTAGTCGGCCTTGACCTGTCGCAGAGGCGGAGGAGGAGCCTTTCTTGAGAGGCGAGGCGGAGGAGGTGGATTGCCGCAGAGCGAACGCGCCGGGTGACCCGGGTTGTCGTGAGGGAGGGGAGCGGATCTTCTCCGGCGACGAGTGCAGCGAGGTGGTCGATCCGCGTTGCTGCTCGTTCTGGCCGGAGAAGGGTGCGGCGCCGCCGGCGGACGTCGAGGGATGCAGCATGCTGCTGAACCATCCGCCGATACGGTTCGCGACGATGTGGTTCGGGCTCAACGGTGTGCCTGATGCAGGCGGCGACGAGGCGTTGAGAGGCGGCGGAGAAGTCGAGAGCGCGCTGTCGGACATGGGGCTGACAGACGAGGGGAAGCTGGACGAGGTAGGCGTGATGGCCGACTCGGCGCCCGACGAGACGTCCAACATTGAGGACGACGCATTCGACGGCACATGTCCCGCTCCACCAACAATCGCCACTCCTTCCGCTTCCAGCGCAGCCTGCTCCTTCGCCCGTCCGAACAACTTCAACCCGCTCCTCGTCTTCCTCAACCCGCGCGCCAAGCGCCCCTCTCCCTTCTCTCCCCCAGCGCTACTAGCCCCACTCAACGCCGAGACCGTACTAGTCCGACTCACAGCGCGGACCATCGCCTCGCTTATCCGCCTGCCGTCTTCATCTCCCTCTTCGAGCTCGGCTGTCGCCCATTCGTCTTCCGCTTCGGGAGCGGCGGGGGACTTGCCTTTCTTGCTCCGCCGGCTGGAGGAGGACGACGGCCGGAGAGAGAGACTGGCTGAGAGGGAACGTTTCTGCTGAGCCGAGTTGGCGGATTGAGACGAGGAAGGGCGAGAGTGGGTAGATGAAGAGGAAGTAGAAGTCGAGGTGACGGAGCTTCGGCGGGGAGCGCTAGAGGCGGACGTAGCGGGAAGGGCAGAAGTCGATGAGAAATCGGTCGAGGGCTGCGAATCGAACTGCGTCGACGGGGAGGACGAGATCGAGATTGTCGGGGCCGCGGGCGGCGGTAGGGAGGAAGTCGACTGCTCAGGCTCTGGCGGGCGGTTGACAGAGCGCGTAAGGAGGTTGAGCGAGCCGATCGAGCGCGAGCGGGTCTTGCGCGTCTTCGTAGGCGATTCAGGTGGACCAGCGGCGCTTTCCGAGGGCGAGGACTGGCCCGAGGATGTTGAGGCGGAGGATCGGGAGAGCCATTTGGTAAGCTTGTTGGGCTGCGAGGAGGGCGAGAGGAGCGTGTCTGGCTGGACGGCGGACAAGGGTGGAGGGATGGAAACCGCTTCGTACGGCGACGTGCTGGTCAGGGATGACGGTGCTATGTCGCTCGTCGAATCGTAGGAACCGACGAGCCGGATCCCGTCGTCGCTTGTCTCGCCAACAGCGTTCCGCGTCGGGTTGCCCATCATCTTGGGCATGGAGACAGCCACTCCTCCGGCTTCTGAATCCTCCCGTGTTGCACCCTCAGCCACAACGTCTGTCCGCTGCATCAAATCGGCGGAAGCGGAGCGAGGCAGGCGAGGAGACGAGGTCGAAGTGTCGGGATGTGGGGGTGAAGGAACGAGAGGATGTGAGGTTTCTGGAGACGCTGGTGATGCTGAGTTCTGCATGGCACCTTCGCAGCACTGTCGAGGGACAGTCTCAATCTGTTTCCGCGCGAGAGAAGCGAGTCAGCGTGCTGACAAGGCGAGGGAGAGATGTGTCGACTGCGCTGCCCTAGTTCACCAGCGGGTCCGCCGGTCCCGAGACGCAGTCTTGTAGAACCCTCATCCCACCATAGCGTGCTTGCACACCCACTCGACCCGCTGTCGCCGCGTTGTCACCTCGGCACCTCGTCCAACTCCTGTCGGCGGTGCTTGCGTGCACCTCTGTCGAGGGATAAAGAGCCCAGACGCACGCTATGGCGTTCAGTGACTCCAGGAGACCCGTCTGCGCCCTCCACCGCTGCGCGCTCCGCCTGTGGTCCTCAACCGGTCGCGATGAGCGGGAGTGGGATGTGGGACGCGGCGACGAGCGGTTCTTTCGCGTGCGGTCGAGTCGGTATGCCTTGAGAGCACCCTGAGAGAGTCTGTGAGCGTGTCCAGCCAGCAGCCGAGCGAGACGGAGCGTGAGGTCGTCGCCCTTGCCCTGCGACGGTTCGTTCACCCACAACCACTCGCCTCGACCCGCCAATCTCGCGCAAGATGTGGGTGGACGCGCCGACAGAGCTTCTCAGAGGATTCCAACAGTGCGCTGACTGATGCCGCCTTTGCCCGCAGGGGATCTGGGCTGTCGAAAGCGCTGGGTGCGCTCCCTCTCTTCTCGCCGCCGTCCTGCATGGTGTACGGCGTCGAGGGCCTCGCTGACGTGATCGTACCGCATTTGTGACTCCCTGCTATCGATCTGACCCGCGCCGACTCTCCCCTGTATCCACGACAACTCGCTCGACGCGCTCCCTCCCGCTCGACCCCTTCTCATCTTCTCGTCTTCTCGACCCGCACAAACGACGGTGCAGGCAAGCTCTTTGGCAACAAGGAGATGCGGATTTTGATGCTGGGTCTGGACGCGGCGGGAAAAACGAGTGCGTTCCTCAGCTTCAGTTTCATGAAGGAAGGAGGGGCTTTTGTGGCCCGGTCAGGCTGGGTGGCTCCTTCTGTCGAGTCTACTCGCGCTGGAGAAGCCTGCGAATGCCAGACGTGGAAAGGCCGGGGATTGATCCCCTTCGCACGCACACGCAGCCATCCTGTACAAACTCAAGCTGAACCAGTCGGTCACGACGATCCCGACTGTCGGCTTCAACGTCGAGACGGTGACGTACAAGAACGTCAAGTGAGTCGGCGCGGCCGTTCTCTGTGCAAAGCGGACGACCGTAGAGAGGTCGCTCGTTTCGCTTGACCTCGGCCAGCAACTTACTCTCACATTTTCCCGCCCTCGCGCAGATTCAACGTATGGGTGCGTCTTCCTCCTGCCCTTCTTTCTCGTCACCTCCCCGCTGACCACAACACCTACCGCAGGACGTCGGCGGGCAAGACAAGATCCGTCCCTTGTGGCGACACTACTACACAGGCACTCAGGGACTCGTCTTCGTCGTCGACTCGCAAGACCGCGACCGGATCGACGAAGCGCGGACCGAGTTGCACAAGATCTTGAACGACAGGGAGATGAAGGATTGTTTGTTGCTCGTGTTTGCGAACAAGCAGGATTTGCCGGATGGTGCGTCGCGCCCGATTCCTCTGTCTCACTCTCTATGCCCTACGTGTGATGCTGACGTAAACGAACGGCGTATTGTACAGCCATGACCCCGACGGAGGTGACGGAGAAGCTCGGGCTGTTGAGGATGAAGGACCGCAGCTGGTACTGCCACCCTTCGAATGCGCTCAACGGCGACGGTTTGTTCGAAGGTGCGTTCGTCGGTGCCTCGCGTCGGACGGCTTCTCGACGAGCGTCGCTTCTGCGGCACGATGTCGGGTCCACGTATCCACTGCAGGAACTGACCATATGACTTCTCCTCGCTCGCAGGCCTCAACTGGCTCTCGCAGAACATCAAGGCGCAGAAGTAGGATACCCCGCGCCTTCACCGCCGCCCACATATCCCCGTTCCTCTCCTCGCCTCTCTCGCTCGCCCGCCTCATATCTCGCCGCATTCGCCTCTTTGTCGCGCCCGCATGATACCCCTCGACGCCCTCGCCACCCCTCGCCCGCCCGCCCGCCAGTCAGTCCCTTCGTGTTTCTCTCTCGCCGTTGTCCGTTCTGTTCGCGTCTGTTCGTAGTTTCCCTCCCGCTCTCCCTCTCGCTGCCAGTTACCCATATCGTCCCTCTTCTCCTCTGTGTCTTCTCCTAGTAACTACTGCACTCTCTGGGCTAATTTACACGGTCTCGTTCACGTCCACTCGCTCGCTTCCTCCTCTCGCTCGCTCGAGCCTCTTCTCTCTTTTCCTTCGCTCTTTCCGCTGGTCTGCTCGCTCGAGACGTTTGACATCGTTGGGACAGCCCCACAACTTCTCCAGCGACCCCATAACATCACCCCTCTGGCTCTCCCCACGATCCCCCTCTTGCCAGTTCGCCGCTCCTCCCGGATCCGCCAGCGCACAAGCTGGATGGACCACCGCGACACTGGACCACTGGACGACGGTGACTTGGCTCTGCGCGCAGCGGACGCGCTGCTGGCGGAGGAAGAGGGAGGACAGGCGAGTCGAGATGATGGAATCGCAGGAGGACAACACTCGAGGCGGACTTCGCTCGCTTCTGCGTATGGCGCGGCTGGACACGCAGGACCGCACGTCGCAGGTGGAAAGGTCCTGGCAAGCTGGGCGGCCCTCGTCGTGCTGTCGGCTTGGACGAGTCGACTCGAGGCGACCCAACTCGCACGACACTCGAGGACCGTCGCAGCTTGGTTTCCCTTGACGCATTTCAGCGTGCTCGGTGCGATACTTGCGGTCTACCCTCTCCTGCGGGGACAGTCGCTCGCGAGGGGCGGAGGCGGACTCGAGTTGGGAGGAGGAGCGGGCTTGGCTCGCGATAGGAGGGTTGGGATGGCTGCTGGTGCGGCGGTGGCGTTGAGCTTGATGCTGAGGGTGTGGGAGGTGCGCGTGGGACAGGAACGGCTGTGCGAGGCCATCGAGGTGCGTCCGTTCCTCGCTGTCTTCTGTCGCTGCGACCAACTTTCCCTCCTGCAGGTCTTTGTCATTCCCGCTGTCCTCGCCTTCTCGCCCTACATCACCTCCATCGTCTCGCCCGCTCACTCTCCCGCCACTGCGAGCTCCGCCCTCGTCATGATGGCCGCCGCATCGACCTTCCTCATCGGCTTCGCGCTCATTGGAGTCCCGGCAAGCGGCGTGGCGGCCGCCCTCGCGCTCGTGCGGATACCGCTCGACGCGGTGGGGCTGCTGTTCCTCAAGGAAGGACTGGGCGCGGAGAACCCGGCGCTTTTCTTGCGGGACGCGGTCTCGGTGCGTTCGCTTTCTCGAGCTGTAATCTGCGCAAGCTGATCCGCTACACGCGCAGACCGCCACGACGTGCTCCCTCTTTGCGATTCCCGTCACCCTCTTCTCCTCAGAAGCCGACAAGTCCCCGAGTCTCAACACGGGCGGCTTCGCCTCACTCCTCCTCATCCTCCTCGTCTCGATCCTCTCGCAACTCGCGCTCCTCTACAACCTCGCCAACACCTCTCTCGCAATCTCGACCGCGTCGACGCTCTTCCCCCGCAACCTTTTGCTCCTGGTCTGGCAGAGCTTCGGACGCGAGTCGATTCCGCTCCGCCAGAACTGGATGCAGGTCCTCCTTGTCTACATGTTCGGCACGGTAGGCGTCACATGGGCAGATGGGGAGGTCTGGAGTGCGTTTGCGCGCTGGCGGAAAGGAGGCGGCGACGCCTACAGCCTCTTGAGCGAGTCGAACGGGCACGCCATGTCCTCACCTTCGGGCTCGCCCCCTCCGAACACCCGCAAACAATCCAGCGACCGCACCTCCCCGTACTCCTCCCGCACCCCTTCGCTCCTCAGCCTCGTCCCCTTCTTCCCGCTCCTGATCCACCTCCTCACCCTCCCGGTCAGCTACACCTCCGTCTCCCTCGCCTGTTCCTACCTCCCTCCCTCCTTGCGCTCGACCATCTGCCCTACGAGCGCCTCAACACCGACGTCGCGCTCCGTGGACCTCGTAATCGCCTACTACGACGAAGCGCTCGAGCGCACGCGCAACCACATCAACGACGTGCGCAGGACGCCGTTCGTTCGGAAGAGAAGTAATCGCGTTGTACTGTATAACAAGGGGCCGAAGGGGGAGGAGGAGATCAGGAAGGGACTGGGGTTGAGGTGGACGGATGAGGTGGTGCCAATCCCGAATCTGGGGCGGGAGGGCGCGACGTACCTCACCGTGAGTGCGCCCATAGTCCTTTGCGTCCGAGTCTCGCTGACTTGTGGATGCGCAGCACATCCTCCTGCACTACAACACGACGCTCTCCTCCCTCGTCCCCTCCTTCCATCCCTCTCCGCCTCCCGCGTCCCTCCTCATCCCCCTCTCACACCTCCGCACAACCCACCTCGCAGACCATACCTACTTCCTCCAGCCTCACCTCGCCTGGGGAGACATCGCCGCTCCCAGGATGCGAATCGTCGAGGACGACACGGGGTTTGCACATTTCGGACCGCTGATTAGGGGAGAATGTGGGTTTGATAAGCGCGTTGATGTGGATTTCCCGGTGAGTTCGCGTGAGAATGTGTGAGGGGAAGGATGCTGACGGCGAGACGACGTCCGCAGACGGTGAAGGAGCTGTTCAACATCTTCGCGGGCGAGATGTGTCCTCCCACCGGACACCTCGTGCGTTCCTCGTGTTGCTCATCTCTCTTACCTGCACTGACTTCACCTCCCACCGCACAGATGGCCTGGTCCGCCCAATTCGCCGTCTCGAAGCGCCGCATCCTCGCCAACCCCTACGCGCGGTACTCCTCGCTCTCCTCACTCCTCGAAGCGCCCTTGTCGCACTGGATCCACAACCTCTGGGGCCCGAATGACTCGGGCGGACCTTCGAACCCCGCGTTCGGGCACAGCGTCGAGCGCGCTTGGCCGGTCATCTTTGGGTGTTGGGATCCGAAGTTGGCCGCCGAGTGTCCGGATGAGGTGGCGGAGAAGGAGAAGTGTCAATGTTTGGATACCTAGACTTGTACATAGCCGTCGGAACTTTGCAGGATACCCCCCGCCTCGCTTTCGGATACTCCCTCTCGCATCTTACGCAGCAGCAGCGTTGGCATCGCAATCACAGACACTACACACGGGTCCGCGCACCGAGAGACTGCCTTTTGCACTGCAAATAACCGCAAGAGAGATTCTATCGTTCGTTCGGACTTCGCTCGCATCTACAGCTCCTCCTTGAACCACTTCTCGACCTCCCACGCGCCTCCCCAGGACACGACCTTGCATTTGACGTCGCTCGTGTGCGCCGCAGTCGAGTTCTGCAGGCGGCGGTACAGCTCGCGGTAGAGGCGGACGAGGGCGACGTCTTGGCTGCAAATCCGACGCATCAGTCCCGAGGGCGGTAGAGAAGGGAGGAGGATACGCACGAGCGGAGGTGCAGGATCGGGCAGAGGTCGTTCGCGCCATCGCCGATGTAGACGACCTTGTCGAACGAGTCCCAGCCGCCGTTGCGTGCCATGAACGCCTCGAGCTCCTCGCCTGTGCGAACGAGGCAGTCGACGATCAGCCCCAATTTTCCTGCCAGACAAAGCGACCGAACGGCTCATCCGCCACGCACCCTTGCACATGTTGGGCGAGCAGCCGACCTTGCACTGGTGCTGCGGCCCGTTCGGGTCCACCCTGCGCCTCAACTCGAGCAGTCCATCTTCGCGGAACTGCGCAGGGTTGGTGACGACCTCGTCGATAGCGTTCTCGACGCCGTAGTGCTTGAGGATCGTGTCGATGTAGACCGAGTTGGCGTTCGAGAGGATGAAGGTGGTCACTTGGGGGTCTTTGCTCGCTTTCAGGTCGACAAAGGCCCGGCGCATGGCGGGGTGCTGCACAACAGATGGTGTGAGCAGGCGGGAAGTATGAGGAGACTGCAACCGGGCGCACCACGGGGACCTGCCTCAGCGCTCCCAGGACATCCTCCTTCCCAAAGCCCTCAGCATGGAGCTTGCGAAGGTGCTCGGCGCTGCCACGGCGAGGTGATCAGCACGGCAACATGGCCAAGGAAACGCGCCCTCAGTCTCACCAGTTGTCGGTCCACTGGAGCGTCTTCTTCGAGGCGCGCAGCGATGTTCGGAGGTGAGGAGCGAGAACCTCGAAGACGTAGCTGCGTCAGGACGTCGTCAGCAGCTGACACAGTGCTCTTACGTCCCTCGTAGCTCACCGGTCCGTGTCCTGGTCTGTATATCGCGTCGAAGAGAGGGGGAGGTGGGGGAAACGAACGTGCGTGAGCTAGGGAAGGGCTTCGAACGGGCTCGCTCGACTCGCCTGCCCAACTCCAGTCAAAGTCGGAGCACACGAGCACGCGGCGGGGGCTGGCAGACCTGTTGCGAGCGAGCGAGTTGGTTCAGCTGATGAGGATGGCGAGAGCGAGCGGGGGAAGCGACGACGGCGTCTCGCGGCGCGGTTGGAGCGGGATCGTCGAGCGTACATTCTAGCGAGTGTATACGTGTCAATACCGTCCAAGAAGAGAGCTGTCGCGAGCTGCAGCGGGCGTGTCAAGGGGCTGAGGTCGAGCTCGAGCTGGTGTGCTCCTCTCCTCCTCTCACTCTCCCGCTCAACTCGCCAGGACAGCTGCAGAAATGGCTCAGCCTCTTATTCTCGGTCTCTGGTGCGTCTCACGTCCCACCGCCGTCTTTCCCGCTTCTAGAACGGTCCCCTCACTCGCCTCCGTCGCGTCGCTCAACGTGCCACTGCGTTCGCCTGCATCGCTGACTTAGGACGGTCTACGCGCGCACAGGTCCATCGTTCTCGAGCCTGGAAAGACCTACTCGCAGAACACGAGCCCCGCCATCCAGATCACCAACGTCTCGGTGCGTCTCCGCTTGCGACGGCCTTCTGTCGCTCTCGTGCACTCTCTGGACGCGAGCTGACCGTCGGCGCTTGTGGATGTTGCGCAGTACGGCGCTGAGGTCAAGGGCAATGCTCGCTCGGCCGTCACGATGAAGTACCCGGAGTTTGAGCAGGACAGCGACGACGAGGAGGATGACGAGGAGGAGGAGGACGAGGACGAGGACGACGAGAACATCAAGCTCCCCAAGATCATCACCAAGGAGCCGGTCCTCGCTGTCCTCAGGCCCAACGCGGTGCGTTCCAGTCCAGACCTCCTTTCTCCATGGCGACTGACCTCTTTCTCCTTGCGATTCGCAGATTGAGCAGGCGTCGATCAACGTCACCCTCGTCGAGGACGTCGAGGTTGTCGAGTTCTCCGTCACTGGCGAGAAGTGCGTGCGCGTTCCGCGGACTTGACTTGGCAGGTTGACATCCCGTTGACCTTTCCCTCCTATCCCCTCTCCCTCTTTCCTCTTGACCCCATCTTCCCCTCCTTCATTGTTTCAGCCCCGTCCACCTCGTTGGCCACTATGTCCGCCAGGAAGACTTCGACCAGCCTCCCTCGGACTACGACTCGGAGGAGGAGTACGGTTCAGACTTTGACGACGAGGACGACTTTGACTCGGAGGGCATGTCGGGCTTGATCGATGACGACGAGGAGGACGACGAGGACATGGAGGATGCGGCGGACCGGATTCAGGAGATTGAGGAGCCGAAGAAGGCTGCGTGAGTTCGCATGCCCTCTCCTTACGCCCGTCTCGTTCCTGCTGGACTTCAAGACTGACTCGTCCTGCGCGATATGCCGCACAGCTCGAAGAAGCGCCCCGCAGACGAGACCCCCGCCGGCGCCGACGACTCGACCGTCTCCGCCGCGTCCGTCGCCGGTCTCTCGAAGAACCAGAAGAAGAAGCTCGCCAAGAAGCAGAAGGCCGAGAATGGCGAGGCTGTTGCCCCTGCTGCCGAGGAGAAGAAGGCTGCTGAGCCCAAGAAGGCCGAGGCGAAGAAGGACGAGCCCAAGAAGGATGTGCGTCTGTCCTCCTCTCCCTCTTGCCTTGAGCCTTGCTCGTCGCCTTCGCTCATCGCTGACACGATTCCTCACGTGCTTGCGCAGACCCGCAAGACCCAGGTCCTCGCCGGCGGCCTCGAGATCACCGACTTCAAGGAGGGCACCGGACCTGCGGCCAAGGCTGGCAGCAAGGTCGGTATGCGCTACATCGGCAAGCTCGACAACGGCAAGGTGTGTACACACCTCTCCTGCGCTCTCGGACGTGAGCAGCGGTTCTGACGGTCGGGAACGAGCAGGTCTTTGACTCCAACACGAAGGGCGCGCCTCTCGTGTTCAACCTCGGCCGTGGCCAGGTCATCAAGGGTGCGTCGTGTCCTGTACATGCCTAGGAACAGCCCACTGACCCCCCGGTGCCGCGCACGCAGGCTGGGATCTCGGCGTCGTCGGCATGAAGGTCGGCGGCGAACGCAAGCTCGTCATCCCCGCCGCGCTCGCGTACGGCAAGCAGAAGATTCCTGGGATCCCGCCCAACAGCCGCTTGACCTTTGACGTGAAACTTCTTTCTCTTTCTCCTTCTTCTTCCTCTTCTTCCTCTTCCCGCCGTTGATTCTCCTCCTCCCCTTTTTACCGAGGGGCTGCAAATCAATCATGTGACAACATATGGCCTTTCTGGGCGAGAGACTCAGGTCCTGTCAGGACAAGAACGGAGAATCACGCATCCCTACGCCCCTCCTCGCCGCACCTAAACCCTCCCTCCCCTGCGCCCGCCCCATCTAGCGCACTATTCAGCGCCTGATCCAGCCATGCCCATGACGACAATGCCTGGACCGAGTTGAGCGAGTCCCAGTAGGTGAGGTCTTGTGCGAGGGCGTCGAGAGGAAGGTCGGCGAGGAGGTCTTCCTGCAGAAGCGGCTGCGGAAACGCGGGAGTGTCAGTGTCGACGCAGAAGCGCTTCTCAGAAGCTGAGGGACGCACTGCGTTCTGGAGCTGGTCGAAAGGGTTGACGACTGCCGAAGCCTGTCCGGGTCCGCCTGCCTCGCCCTGCTGCTGCTGGTTGACCGGACCCATCTCTGCGTCCTGCGCTGGTTCAGGACTGCTCATACGCCGTGAAGGAGCGCCGGTAGCCGGTATGCAGCCGGGATGGAGGGCCTGAAGTGCGGCTCTGAAGAAGCGGGCGATGAAGGCGGGAGGCGAGTCTTCCGAGCCGTTCTTCGAGCGGGATGCGGCAGCGTAGACTGTCGATAGCGGAATGTGAGTCTTGCGCAAGTACAGCAATATTCGACGCGCGAACGGACCTCTTGACATCAAGCTGATGAGGATCACTTGCGCATTCGCATCGACGCGTGGGAAGAGCTGTACGTTCGTAGCGCGTCAGCGAGTTTAGCAGTAGTACATTCGACGAACGACGCACCTTGCCGAGTCCCTCGCCGAGATCCAACAACCGAATCGCCATCGCGTCCTGCGAGAAGCTCAACATTTCGTCGGCCGCGAACCGCTCGAAGGAGTCGACGACATCGGTGGCGCGTGCGAGGTACTCTGCTAGGACTGCTGGATCTCCGGGTCCGATGACCGCGAGACAGGCTTGCGCGGTGGAGAAAGCGGCTGTGCGGAGGTGAAGTTGCGCCTGCAAAGGTAGCGCTTGTCAGTGTGCAAGAGCGCGATCGACAAGCGAGCTCAGTCACCTTGTTTGCAGCCTGCAGCGTGAGTGGCCGATACTTTGGCGCTGGCGCAGCAAGCGTCAGTTCGAGGGTCCCAGCGAAGCGACGAAACGAACGCACATTGAGGGTCCAGGTACTTTGCCTGCGCCTGGTTGAGAGCGTTCTGCACATACGACGCAAGAGTTCGCGCCGCAGCCGGCGACGATGCAGCCGCGACGAGCTGGTAAAGCCGGTTGAGCGGGACGAGCGACATCGAGACGGCCTGCTCGGCGTCGTCCTGGACGTCGTACTTACGCGTCTCGTCGAGCCACGCGTCGATATCGACGTCGCAATGCCGGATCATTCGCGAGTCGGCCATCGTCTCGTCGACTCGGAGGTGGGAGGCGTCGAAGCAGATCAAGACGATCCAGCAGCGTTCGCGGTCTAGGAGGACGCGGGCGGCGAGATCGTCCGTGGGAAGTGGAGTTGTACGCTTGACGTGCAGGCCAAGTTGGAAGCCTGCCGGCGGCAAAGTCAGCGAGCAAAGCGGGCGCACAAAGCGAGAGCGAACGTACCGAGCCGAATCGCATAACCAATCTTGAGCCAAGCGGACGAGTCCATCGGTTCCTTCCAGTAGCAGAGGATGAGGAGAGCCTGCACGAGCCCGATCCCGTCCGAGCCGTCGCCTCCCATCGCTCGCATGACGAGTTGCTGCGCGTGCTGGAGAAGCTGCGGGTACAAGTCCTTGCGGAAGAACTTGGCTGAGACGGCGAGGACTGCGCTGAGGAGGATGGGGGAGGTGCGGCGGATAAAGTCGAGCGAGTGCAGGTGCGGGTCGAGGAGGATGATGTACCGGTTGAGCGAGGTGTGGAAGTTGTCGACGAGTTGTCCCGCCTCGAACTCGCTCAGCATGCCTGGCGAACATTGACTGTCAGCTAACTGCGTTTTCTGAAAAGGAAATACCGCAGCTCACTCAGGTCGACGGGGTCAGCCATGCGAGCCGCAACCTTCTTGCCCTTGACGCCGTTGCCAAACAAAGAGGAGCGGTACAGCTTAACCTCCGCAGCCTCTGCGAGGGAGGCAAACGTGTTCCGCTCCAGCACGACGCTCGCGGACGAGGCGGGAGAGGGATGGATGCCGGACGAGAGGGAGTAGGCCGGAGAGGCGCTGTGATGGGCGACGGCGGATGCGGCGAGCGCTGGCATACCCTGGCTCGACGACTGCCAGCCAGAGGAGCTGGCGGGAAGAGCGCGATCATGGAGACCGGGCGGACCGTATTGCGGAGGGAAGGGGAGGACGGTGGAACTCGCGCCGCTCGAAGGGTGTTGCGAAGTAGAGGGCGTTGGGAAGACTGTCTGGCCATTCGCGAGGGGTAGCTGAGTGGGCGAGTACGTTGGCGCTGTCGGATCAGCCGCGACGCCTGGCGGATGCGGCAAGTTGTACATCGAGGGAAGCGAGGGGTAGTGAGGCGGAGCGTCGCTTCGAGTCGCGACAAGGGTGAGCGCGAGCGCAGCCTCGTTCGTGTTGCGTTCTCGGGCGTCCGCCGCGTTGTCTGCGGCTGCTGCGACCGACCGCGCAAGCTTCGACGCAGGCTGAGCGCCTTCAGCCGAGCGATCCTTCGGACGACGGCCAAGGCGAGGGGCGCTGCGGTACTCGCACGGAAGGTCGAGCCTGATGCATCGGGTGCATCGACTCTGGTCCTGTGCCCAGATGCCTGTTGGCGCCTGGTCGTTCGGAAGCTTGCACTTGACCTGGGGGACGAAAAGGAGGATCAGCGGTGATTCTGCGCGGGTGGAGGAGTAGGGGCAATGCAGATCGATGCGCACCTTGATCTTTCGGCATGCTAGGCAGCTGTCACGTCGCGATGAAACTCCCGTGAGCGACACGAAGAGATGAACCGCGAGAAAGCGGTTCTACGCACGCGACTTTCGACGGGCGCTTGTACAGCTTGCCACCTGGCCCGACCTGTCCTTCTGCTGGTACGTTCTGCGGCGCTTCTTCAGCCTGCGAGGCCATCGCGGCGGAGAAACGTGATGGCCGGTGGATGGATGCCGATGGGGTTGGAGAACAGCGAGCGAGGATCGCGGGGCGCCGTTTGTTCGATAGAGCAGCAGCAACGACGTCTTCCAGTACCCTGGCGTGCTCTGGTACCAGCTCGAGCAGCGAATCGCTCTGTGCGATGCGAAGGGAAGACGCCGGTGAGGTCGTCCGCCTCTTGACTCCCGCCATCTCGCTTGAAGTCGCTGGACGTGCTTGCAGTGCTCTATGCGACGTTGTCAACAAGCTTTCATTTGAGCTGACCACGCTGGATCTCCCTTGAGTGCTGGTTGCGCTGTCCGCCTGCCTCCCTCACGCTTCCCTTGCACCGGTCCATTCTTGCTGGCGCCGTCGACCGCAGACGCGATGAGACTCTTTCGGCGGTGGAATGGGCCGCGACGTCGGTGTGGGGAGCGCTGGATGGCGCGAGGCGGTAGACAGCAGCTTCCGTCCCTCGCATCCTTTCTACGCTCGAGGTACTCCATCTTGGCTTCTCCCGCTTCAGCACGACCCAGGCAAGTTGCACCGACTTGGCGGCGAAGGCTGCGAGCGATGCGCTTTCTCGTACTCGACCCTCGTCGTCGGCGCAAGTCCTGACAATCCTCTCTCCGCAGACTCAACAATGACGAGGCCAAACATCATCTTCATCATGGCAGACGACCACGCCGCCAAAGCCATCAGTGCATACGGAGCGGGCATCAACGACACGCCCGGAATCGACCGTCTCGCGAAGGAGGGAATGCGCTACGATCACTGCTACGTTACTAACTCGATCTGGTGAGTGCCTAAGCATTCTTCGAAGCGTTGTAGTCCCCCGAAGTCGCGGCTGGACATCGTCGCTGGCGCGAGAGCGACTTCCTCCTCCTCCGTTCTTCGTTCCCGGCTCTTACTCCCGCTCCCGCTTCGCTTGACAGCACCCCATCTCGTGCGACCATTCTCTGCGGCACGCACAATCACGTCAACGGCGTCCACACCCTCGACTCGAAGCTCGACTCGAATCTCCCAAATGTTGCAAAGCATCTTCGCTCGAGCGGGTACCAAACGGCCATGATCGGCAAATGGCATCTCGCAGGTGTGTCAGACTCCTGAACTACGAACCCGAGGCGTGTTACTCAGCCACGCCTTCGACGCAGGCCACGGCGCGCTCGAAAAGGCGCATGCTCCGCAAGGTTTTGATGAGTGGGACATCCTTCCGGGCCAAGGGCAGTACTTCGACCCGATGTGGATCAACTCGTCAGGTCCGCACCGCGAGATGGGCTACGTGACGGACATTACGACGGACAAGGCGATCGACTTTATCGAGCGGCGGGACAAGAGCAGACCGTTCTTCGCGATGGTCCACCACAAGGCCCCTCATCGTCCTTGGGAGTGTCACCCGCGCCATCGCGAGCTCTACAAGGACGAGATCCGCATCCCCGAGACGTACGACGACGACTACAAAAACCGAGCGAAGGCAGCGTCGCTCGCCAAGATGCGCGTCGAGGCGGATATGTCGTACCAAGACCTGGGTCTCGTCCAGCCCGAAGGCGGCAGCGAGCTCGGCGAGCTCGAGATCCCGTTCCTCGACTGGTTCACGTCGCGCAAAGTGCCGATGCCGGACGACGTCTCGAAGATTCGCCTCATCGACAAGCAGACGGCCGAAGTGTTCACGTTCAAGACGCGCGAAGAGCTGTCCAAGTTCAAGTACCAGCGCTACATGCAGCGCTACCTGCGGACGATCCAGTCCATCGACGACGGCGTCGGCAAGTTGCTCGACTACCTCGACGCGAGCGGGCTCGCCGAGAACACAATGGTCATCTACACCTGTGCGCACGATCACTCCCTTTTCTTCATCTCGTCCGTCCCCGCTGACCGCTGTCTCTTCCTCTCGCAGCGGACCAGGGTTTCTTCCTTGGCGAGCACGGCTGGTGCGTCGGTTCCGTCCTCTCGTCGCTTGCGCATTCGCTGACTGTGATCGCGTCTCCCAGGTTCGACAAACGCTTCATCTACGAGGTGCGTGCATCCGCCTCGCCAGCCGTCGTCTGCATTTGTCGAGGCTGACCTTCTCACGCTGCCTCTCGCAGGAATCCTTCCAGATGCCCTTCCTCATTCGCTGGCCGTCCGTCATCAAGCCCGGCAGCGTCTCCAAGGACATCATCTCGAACGTCGACTTTGCCGCGACATGGCTCGAAGCGGCAGGCCTGCGCATCCCGAATTACATGCAGGGCGACTCGTTCCTCTCGTCGCTGAAGGGCGTGCCGCGTCCGGCGGACGACAAGACCGTCGCCTACCACCGGTGCGTTTCCGTTTCTCGCTAGTTGACTGCTCGAACATGGAGCGGGGTGTCCCAGCTTCAAGCGTCTTTTCCTTGCCCAAGGTGCTCTCGCTGACGCTTTCGCTCGCCCTCGCAGGTACTGGCAGCACGCCGACCCGATCCACAACGCCTACGCACACTACGGCATCCGCAACCAACGCTACAAGCTGATTTACTGGTGCGCTCTGCTCCCTCGTCCGCATCTTTCGCAGGGCTGACCTCGCCGCGTTGCGGGCGCAGGTACGCCGAGTCGTTCGACCTGCCCGGTACCGGTCAAGGCGGGCAAGAGCGCGAGTGGGAGCTCTTCGACTGCGAGAAAGACCCGCTCGAGCTGTTCAACTGCTGGAGCGATCCTTCGTACGGCCAAGTGCGGGAAGAGATGGTACGCCTCCTGAACGACAAGATGGAGACGATTGGGGATGTGCCGGTGCACAAGGTGGGAGCGTCGGCGGCCGAGTTGGCGGAGATTGACAAGGCGTACGAGGGCGTGGGCATCTCGGAGCGGGCGGGCGAGAAGAACATGTAGACGAGCGGATGTATTGCCAGCCCAGCGGTGGTATCGACTCGATCCTCTCCGAGCATGCGAGAAGTGAGGGAAACGAAGCGCGTTGATGTGTAAAAAAAAGGAGATGGAGGGAAAGAGTCGAAATGCACACACCGTCCGCCGCTCAAACGACGCCGGCAAGTCCCACAAGAGAGAAGGGAGGGGGAGCCAAGGCAACCAAAACGAAAGCGATGCACGAGGGGCGAAAGAACGTAAGGAGACCAGAGGTTTACTGCTGCTTGCACTCGGACGGCTCCTGGTGCGATCCAGGAGTGTTGCCCATCGGCGGGACAGGTGCGCGGCCGCCCTCCTCACTGCAGAAACACGTTCAGTACCTGTCGGCCGTCAGCGCGCTTGGTCAGAACCCGAGAAGGGGAGCGTGAAACGGAGAAAGCGAGACGCACTCGTCGTCGTCCTCGTCGTCAAACTCGTCGTCGTAGTCCTCGCTGTCAAAGTCGGCCTCCTGTCCGAACCGGAGAGCCTTGCCGGTGAAGAAGTCGATGGCGCGGGGCACGACGCGCTCCTTGAGGTCCTCGCCGATCTGGTAGTCGAGCTCGAGCTTCTCCTCGAGGTCGGACGCGATCGACGCGTCGTCGTCGTCGTCTTCCGAGGGAGGCTTGGGCGGGTTGAAGAATGTGAAGAACGACTCGGTAGGAACGACCTTCTTGACGATCCGGGTCTGGTTCGTGTCTGCGGGTGCGGCGAATCGGGGTCAGTCAGCCACAGCTCGCGCGAATTCGGTCGGCAGTCGCTCCGGCAGTCGCGTAGGACACGGCGAGAAAAAAACTCACTCTTGTTCCGCTGCTTCTTTGTCTCGATCTTGACGGTCAAATCCTTGCCCTCCTTCCACTGGATCTGGGTTCCCTCGGCATGCGAGTAGACAAAGTCGCCCTCGTAGCCAACCTCGTCCTGGTAGTAGTACGTCTTCTCGAGGTTCTTGTTCTCGAAGAACTCCTGGGCGCCCTGACCAAACTCAAAGACGAGGGTGAAGCCGCTCTTGCCGCCCTCGGGGTAGGTGACGCGGATGTCGACGAGGTGCTTGAGAGCCTCCTCGTCGCGCTCGGTGATGAGCTCCGACAAGCCGAGGTGGTTCTTGAGCGCGGTGAGCCAGAACTCGGGGATACCCTTGGGCGCCGAGGCGAGCTCTTCGGCCGTGGGCTTGACGCCGTGCTGCTTCTTGTGCGCGCCCTCATCCTCCTCGTCCTCGTCCTCGTCCTCGTCCTCAAAGTCGTCCTCGTCCTCCTCCTCCTCAACCTTGACGCCCTTCTCGATCTCGTCCTCCTTGGGCTCGTCCGCGCCCTCAATGATCGCACGACGACGCTCGTACAAGGGGCGGTACTTTTCCGCGAACCGCTTCTCGAGCTCAAAGATCTCCTTCTGGAACTCGGCCTCGAGGGCAGAGTGGTCGCGTTGGACGCCCTTGAGCGCGGTCAGGCGGTACTGGATCGCGGGAGGGAGAGACTCGACGTAGCCCGACGAGCGGCCGATCAGGCCCGAGAGGCGGTTCTGGACGAGCGAGGCTGTTGAACCGAAGGGCAAAGCGGGGGGAGAGGTGAAGGGGGGGAACCGAAGGTGCGAAGGATGCGTGGATCGAGTGGGGCGCCGTGATCAGCATTGGCAGAGTCGGATGGGCATCGCAAGAGCGTTATCGAACGGGATGTCGAGGAAGGACGAGGCGGAACGTTGGGCGGAGAGAGCGAGGAGGGGGAAACGAAACCCAAGTCAGCACGATCTCGTCTTCACGCTGCTCAGACGGACTGTACGCACCGAAAGCAGGGTTCCCAGCGAGCGCGCCGAGGCCCTGAGCGTCGCGGCTGCCGATGGTCTCGACGCCCTCGTCCTCCTCACCCAGGGTGGCCGGGATCTGGGGGCGGCTGCTCGCAACGGATCCGGGATTGTCCGGTATGAGTCAGTACGACTGATCCACGCGTAACGAGATGCTAGCGAGCCCTGCTAGACGTGTGCGAGCGGGTGCACATGACGCGAGATGGGGACACCATTGGGGGCAGAGGGAAGACCCGCTCTCTCGCCTCCTGGACGAGCGAGACCAGGTTCAGACTCACGAGATCATGCTGCCAGTCAAGGTGTGCACGGCAGGCGTGTTCTCTGCGGCGCGGGAGGGCGTGAGCGGTCAGCTGGGTGAGCTTGGGAGAGGCGGGGCGGAGACGAGCGCTCACGGGGAGTCGGGGCGACGTCGCCGCCGGGTCCGAGGCGCGAAGGGTCGGTCGGGATGTTCTGAGCCATGGCTGGAGCGGGAGAGGGGAGCGGTGAAGAGAGGCGAAGGGAAGAGCGAGGCGTGAGGAGGGGAAGGGGGCGACGACAGGCAAACCAGCGCAGATGAGGTAGATCCAGCGTCCATTGCGTGCAGGAGAGTGTACTGATGGACTACAGTGCAGGCCCACTCGTCCCGCGACAATGCGGCGTCGAGGAACCGCTTTCTTTTGCTCGATGAGGAGGACTGTCGCTCCCGGGCGTTCTCGACAACGCCGGATCGCGTGAAGAATGAATATTGGCAATCTAAGCGACGTTGGTGCCCCAAAGGAGACGCGTGGAAGCCCACCTGACGAGGAGACGAGGCGAAAGAGACGAGAGGGCCACCGCGGGATCCACTTTGTGCGCCCAGCCCACCACGGTCGAGCAGGTAAGGCAATGCAGTCGGAGCATCATCAGTCGTTGACGTTTAAGGCTCGGATGAAGCCAGCGAGTGAAGAGGCGACCGCAGAACGCAGCTTCGGGGAGGTGAAGGAGGAGGAAACGAGAGCTGGCACCGCCATCGTCGAACCGGTTCACTCCGTTGTCCAGCTTGAGCCTCAACGGCTGCCACAGAATACCTCGACAATCCACCGCGAGCCCATAGCCGTGAGCGAAGCGACAGGATGGCGAGGGGTGGGCGAGGGGAGCGAGTACTCGATGTACGGCGGTGCGGGTGACTTGGCAGCGTTCCCAGCTCCTCCAGCAAGCGATCAAGCAGCCTAGCATGCCAGCAGCTCGCTGGCTGTGAGTGGTGCTTGGCCAACCTTCTCCTCCTCACCCTTTGCCGTCCTCACTTCCTCACTTCTCGCTCAACTCGGCTCTTTCCAGCTGAAGTGGGATGCTTCACAGCTCCAGACGATGACCGCCACCCGCCCCTCTCGCTCGTCAACTCCCACGAGCCACCCTCTCATCCAACCCCACACGGACCCTCCTCCGACCGCCTCGTCCTCGTCCCTCCTCGTCTCGCCAACCGTCTCACGCCCACCATCCCCTTTACTCGTCTCGCGCGCTTCGACGCCGAACGGAGCGGGTCCCAGCGGAGGAGGAGGGGGGATCAGGAGTCGACGCTCGCCGCTTCCGCACCCGACGACCCTCGCTGAGGTGGAGAGCGCGGCTGCGACATCCTCTGTCACTGCGCAGAGCTCGGTGAGCGGAATGGTCGAGCCGGATGTGACGAGGCCTTCGCTGAGACGGGCGACGAACGATGCGTTGGGCGTGTTGGACGGTGTGCGGGCTGCGAGCGACGACGGGCGAGGCGAAGGCTACGATCTGAAGACGGACAAGAAGGGGAAGGGAAAGGCGAGAGAGTATGTGCGGACGAACGGAGCGGGAGGGTCGAAAGAACGCGAGGTGATCGTACACAAGGTGCGTTCGGCGGAGCTTCCGTGCGGTGCTGAGCGGCTCCCGAGTCGCTTGAGATACTGATAGAGGCAGTTACCGTCGCCCAGGTCCAAAAGACCGACACCTTTGCTTCCATCTCGCTCCAGTACGGCATCACGGTCAGTCGCGCCCGCTTCTTTGACCGTGCACCGCTTCTCAATGAGCGGCACTGTCTCTCCCCGTACGAGCCCGCGACTGACATCCATACGCTCGCAGCCCCAAGCGCTCCGCACCTCGAACCGCCTCTGGCCCTCGGACCCGCTCTTCCTCCGCTCCGACCTCCTCATCCCCCTCGACCTCTGCAACCTCCCTTCCTCCTCCTTTGGCGTCGAGCGAATAGCGCGTGAAGAGAACGGCGACCTTACCGTCTGGGAGAAACGGGCTCGGGCAGGACTTGAGCGAGGGAGGTTGGGCGATGCGGCGGAGAGGGAGAGGAGGGAGGGGGAGGTGGTTAGTCCGCTGGCGAGGAGGGCGAGTCCGATTGGTACTGGTCTGATCGATGTCGATGGAGGGTTTGGGCGGAATGGAGCGGCGGAGAACGAGTTCTTGAGCGTGTGGGAGGAAGAGGTCACGGCGACGCAGCCGCCTCTCACGCCTGACATCGTCGCGCCCGTCCTCGCGGGTCCTTCATCATTTGGGACTGTCACTGCGCCTACGGCGACAGTCTCTGCACGACCATCAATCGAAGACGACCGACCGCTCTCGATCGAAGAGATCGTTTCTCGTACCGTCTCTCCCTCGTTCTCGACTTCGGCATCAGCGACGACACCATCAACTTCTTTCTCTCCCGAACCGCCTTCTTCGCCTAGCTCTGCCTCACCCAGCGCCGAGTCGGCTCTGGCGAAACGCACGCTACGGATCGCCCGACTTCCAGCCTCGGACCTCGCCTTCTTCCCCGCGCCTACCTCCCATCCTTCCTCTCCCAAAAAGCCCCCTCCAACCGCTCGACCACACTCAAAACCGTCCAAACCGGCACCCGAATCCCTCTTCTTCGGCCCGCTCACCAACTCACTCACCTCGTCCCTCTCCTCACTCGGTCTCGACAAATACCTCACTTCGTCCTCTTCCTCCACTTCCAAGTCTGCAATCCGCCTCCCGCCTAGTCCGGCGTCGGAGCGGGGGAGGAGGAGAAAGTCTGGCTGGGGTCTGCTCGATTTCGGAGCGGAGGAGGACGAGGCTTTCGGTGCGTCAGGTGGTGGAGGCGCGGGGGATTACTTTGCGGCTGTGAGTGAGGCGAGTGCGGGAACGGGTCGGAGAGCGAAGGGGAAGAAGGGAGTGAATGGGATTGTTGGGCTCGAGGACGCGGAGACGTGGAGCAGGCGCGGCACGATTTTAGACGGTGTGAGCGCGAACGGTACAGGTGGGAGTGCGGCAGGCAGAGCGAGGGGAGACGTGAGGGATACGTTTGGGCTGCGATAGATGACGAGGAGAGCAGGACTTCCTGTAGCCATAGCTTCTTCTCTCGGTTCGTGTCTCCTCGCATCGCAACAGCGCTCTATTGACTCTAGGATGACCACGTCCAGTCCACAAACTCGCTTGAGAACAGCTTGACCACTTCCGCCTCCTCCTCCCTCAACTCCTTCCCCTCCGCCTCTGCTCGCTCGCACCGTACAACATCCGTCGCCGGCGCTTCTGCTGCTCTTCCTCTCGCCTTCAGGAGCGAGCCAGCCCACTCGCTCGCCCGCCTTCAACGCCGCAGTCGTGCCCACCTCGCCCTCGCCGGTACTTCACCGGCGGACGGCTGGCATGGCGCTTCCGCAGCTTCGAATGGCGTGCAACCGGGCGCAGCGGTGTTCCCGCTCCGGCCGATGAGCTTGTGCGCCGCACCGCACAGCCCGACCGCCCCTCGACACCGGGCCATTCTCTGCGCGACCGCTTCGGGGTCCGCCCCACTCGCCTAGCTCGCGCTCCCTGGCTAGCTACGACTCGCTACATCACAGCACACCACGACGAGCGATGGTATCACACAAGTTCGTCACGTTCGACGTCGACAAGAAGCTCGCGGAGCTCTCGCTCGCGGAGAAGCTGAAGCTGCTTGGAGGCAAGGTGCGTCTCTTTCGCGCGGGTTCGCTTCGTGCAGTCAACGATGCTGACGAGCTCCGTGTCGCACGCAGGACTTTTGGACCTTCGAAGACGTGCCGGAGAAGGGCATCCCCTCCGTTCGCACCTCGGACGGTCCCAACGGTGTCCGCGGGCGCAACTTCTTCAACGGCGTCCCCAGCTCCTGCTTCCCATGCGGCACGGGACTCGCAGCCTCCTTTGACGTCGAGATGGTTCAGCGAGTGGGTGAGGCGCTCGGCGACGAATGTATCGCCAAGTCTGCGCATGTCCTCCTTGGACCGACTGTCAATACTCAGCGCTCGCCGCTCGGTGGACGCGGGTTCGAGAGCTATGCGGAGGATCCGACGCTCAGCGGTCTCGTTGCGGCAGCGTACATCAATGGCGTTCAATCCAAGAACGTCGCCGCAACGATTAAGCATTTTGTGGCCAAGTCAGTTCTCCGTCATCTACAACATCTTACGCCTCGCTGACACCGTTCGCCGTCCCTTGCAGCGACCAAGAGTTTGAGCGCTTCTCGTCGTCCTCGGAAGTCTCGCAGCGCGCCCTCCGCGAGATCTACCTCGAGCCCTTCCGCCTCGCCGTCAAGCACTCGAAGCCCAAGGCTTTCATGACCGCTTACAACCGGCTCAACGGCCTCCACTGCTCTGAGGACAGGAACTTGCTTGACGGAATCCTGCGAGGCGAGTGGGGATGGAAGGGCTTGGTCATGAGCGACTGGACGGGTGTGTTTCGTTCCATGACTGTGCTCTTTGCTACGTGCTGAGATATCGCTCCGCAGGCGTCTACTCGGTCGAAGAGTCGATCAAGGCTGGCTTGGACGTCGAGATGCCCGGCCCTCCAGTCATGCGGAACGTTTCCAACGTCGCTCGCGTACTCGGCGCCGGCAAGCTCACAATGAACGACATCGACGCACGAGTCCGCACCGTCCTCGAGATGGTCAAGTACGCCATCGACAGCGGCATCCCCTTCTACGGCGGCGAAACCAAAGTCGACACGCCTGAACTCCGGGCTCTTCTGCGCGAGGCGGCGGCGAACGCGACGGTCGTCCTGAAGAACGACTCGAACCTGCTCCCGCTCGGACCAGCGACGCTCGCAGGCAAGAAGGTCGCCGTCATCGGCTCGAACGCCAAACTCGCGTTTCCTTCCGGCGGCGGGTCCGCCTCGCTCAATGCCTCTTGGGTCGTCTCGCCCTTCGAAGCGATCGCCTCGGCAGCGACAGAGGTCGGCGCTGCGTCTGTCGACCACGCCATCGGCGTCGCCTCGTTCCGCTACGTCCCCCTCTGCGACCCGTACCTCTCGAACGCCCGCATCGACTTCTACTCGACCACGCCTCCTCCGCACTGGTTTACTCGTGCCGACACTGCACCGAAGCAGGCCAACTACTCGATCGAGACGGCGACATCGAACGCATTCCTCATCGGCACCATCCCCTGGGAGAAGCTTGGGATGCACGTCTCGACTCGCTACACCGCAACGTTCACGCCCGACGTCTCTGGCCCATGGACGTTCGGTCTCGGCTCGATTGGCGGAGCAATCCTCTTCGTCGACGGCCAGCGCGTCGTGGACAACACGAATCCGACGCCTGGCGACCTCTTCTTCACGATGGGCTCGACCGAAGTCTGCGGCGACATCGACCTCGAGGCTGGGCGGTCATATCAACTCGAATTGCACGGCTATGCCGACCCCGAGGCATTCGGCCCGAGTCCCTTCTCGTTCAAGGCGTCGTTCCGCCTCGGCGCTTTTCCGAAGGCAACACCCGAAGCGATGCGCGAGGAAGCGGTCGACCTCGCCTCGAACGGCGACGTCGCCATCGTCGTCGTCGGCACGAACCCGGACTGGGAGTCGGAAGGGTTCGACAGGAAGAATATGCGGAACCCAGGCGAGACGGACGAGCTTGTCCGCGCTGTCTTGCGCGCGCAGCCCAACACGATTGTCGTCAACCAGTCGGGCACGCCGGTCGAGTTCCCCTGGGTCAACGAGGCGTCGACGCTCGTCCACACCTTCTTCGGCGGCAATGAACTTGGGAACGGGCTTGCCGACGTCCTCTTCGGCAAAGTCTGCGCCGCTGGCAGGCTCCCGCTCACTTTTCCGTGCGTATCCACTCGCTCAGTGTCTCCTGGCTGACGACGACTGACTCTTTGCTCCGCAGCGTCCGCCTTGAAGACAACCCATCCTTCAACTCGTTCGGCATCACTTCCGACACGCCCGGAAAGGTCTTCTACGGCGAGGTGCGTTACACGAGTCGTATCGCACTGTTGCAAGCTGACAGTGAACGTCCTGCTAGGGCATCTACGTCGGCTACCGACACTACGACCGTCTCAAGCTCTCTCCCGCCTTCCCCTTCGGCTTCGGCCTCTCGTACACAACCTTCGCCTTCGACTCGCTCGAGCTCTCTCCGCCCTCGTCGCTAGGCGACTTCGCCGTCTCGTTCCGCGTCGCCAACACCGGCGAGCGCGACGGCGCGGAAGTCGCGCAGGTCTACATCTCGACTCCGTCGGACGGCTCGCGCATCACCTCGCCCGTCAAGGAGCTCAAGGCGTTCCGCAAGGTGTCGCTCAGCGCCGGCGAGTCGAAGGAGGTCGTCGTCGATCTCTCGAGGGAGGCGTTCTCGTACTGGGACGAGTCGGTCGTGTCGTGGGTCGCTCCGGCTGGAGCGTACCGAGTTCTCGTTGCGACGAGTGCGGCGGAGGAGGATGTCAAGCTCGAGGGTGTCGTGCACCTCGAGCAGGAGATCCGCTGGAACGGGCTGTAGTTCGCTCACCTCTCGTTGGGTTCCGTGCAAGCAGCTGTAGCACTCTACTGTCGTGTCTCGGAACACCAGGCAACCTTGTCGTGCGCTGCTCCCTTTAAGAGTCGCTTGCTGTTCGACTCTGTCTCCTCTGCTCTTCGTCCTTCGCGACCACCTTCCGCTTACTTGCTCGCACACATCGGTTTAGCCTTCTAATGGGCTCTCGAGCAGGGGGACGTCGGCGTACCTGCACCGGCTCGCTGTCGCCGGTCCAATTCTCGCGCCGCCCTCCTGGAAAGGGTCCGCTCGCCTCGCCCGGCTGACTGGCTGGACGTGGGCGCCTGCGTGGTCAACCTCGATACCGGGTCAGTCTATCCGAGCGAGTCTGCACCGGCCCGTCTGTTGCTGCTCCGCCGCTCGTCCGCCGACTGTGCCATGCCCACCTCGCACGCCTCCTCCTGCTGTTCAAGGGCCGTACGCCGCTAGATTGCACCGGCGACAACACGCGAGCCTCCGCCGCAGTTCTTCCTGGGCCCCCGCTGCCCTCATCGCACGTCTTCCTCCTCCTCCGCACTTCCCTCCCAGCCTCATCCGCTCGCTCGACTCCCCTCTCACTCTCCCTTCCATGTCTTTGTGCGTACCCTTTCGTCGTCAATCATCGCATCATATTGACCTTGCGAATTCCTCGTCCTTGTCCCCTCCTTACTTCCGCCGAACGGCTTCAATTCCATCCTCTCCATACCCTCATCCGCAGCGACTCCAAGTCCGACACCGACAAGATGGAAGAGAAGCAAGTCGAAGATTCGTCCTTCGTCGAGGAAGGACACACCGCCGTCGCGAAGGCTCCGGACGGCGGGCTGAACGTCCGTCAGGCGCTCTCCGTCTGGCGCAAGGGCGTCGCTTGGAGCGTCGTGCTCTCTCTCGCCGTCATGATGGAGTCGTACAACACTATCCTCCTCGTGAGTGCGCACTCAGCTTCCTTCGCCTCCACTCGCTCATCCAGCCTCCCTCCTCTCGCAGAACTCGCTCTACGCCGCGCCGCCTTTCCAGAAAGACTACGGCATGAAGCTCAAGTCTGGCAAGTACCAGATCCCGTCAGAATGGCAGGTGAGGGCCTTTTCTGAAGCCTAGCCTCGTATGACTGCTGACCCTGTCACTTGCAGAGCGCCCTCGGCAGCGGCACCGTCGCAGCGACCATCATCGGCGTCCTCGTCGCCGCCCCGCTCATCGATCGCTTCGGATACCGCAAGGTCATGATCGGCGGCCTCGTCTGGGCGTTCGGCTTTTCGTGGCTCATCTTCCTCTCCAAGGACCTCGCGCAACTCCTTGCCGGCAACATGTGCTCTGCCTTGCCGTGGGGGGCATTCATCGTCTGCGCCGTCTCGTACGCCGTCGAGGTCGTCCCGACGAGCCTGCGGAGTTACCTCTCCTCCTACGTGAACCTTTGCTTCGTTATCGGGCATGTCATCGCCGTGTGTCCCGCTCGTCTGTCCCATCCCTTTCTACGCATGTTGACCCATCGCGTGCGCGTTGCAGGCCGGCGTCTTGAGGGCATCAATCAGCTACAAGAGCGTGTGGACTTACAAGCTCCCCTTCCTTCTCATCTGCATCCCGCCCCTCCCTATCGCCCTCGCCCTCTGCTGGGCCCCCGAATCGCCCTACTGGCTCGCCCGCAAAGGCCGTCTCGAAGATGCAGCCGTCGCGATGGACCGCCTGCACGCTCCTCACCCCGATATCGACTCGAAGGCGCTTGTTGCGCATATTCACGAGACGTACAAGGTCGAGCAGGAGATGCGCACGGGTGGATCGTTCGTTGACTTGTTCAAGGGTAGCAACTTGCGCCGTACCGAGTTGGCGACGATCGCTTGGACGAGCCCGGGTCTGGTGCGACTCCTTTCCCTCGCGCCTGCGCGTACGCTCGCTCGAAGCTAACTTTGGTTTGCTCGATAGGTCGGCTACGTCGTCCAGTTCTACCAGGTGCGCCGGCATTATCTCCCTTCTCATTGACGCGCTCAACGAGCTAATTCCTCTTCGACGCAGACCTTCTTCTTCACCCGCGCCGGCTTCCCTACCGACAAAGCTTTCGCGCTCGGTCTCGGCTCGTACGCCATTGCATTCGTTGGAGGCGTCGTCAGTTGGTTCCTCCAGGCGCGCCTCGGTCGCCGGACGATCATCCTCTGTGGCTTGTGCTTCATGCTGCCAATCATGCTCCTCGTCGGCTCTCTCGACTTTGTCAAGTCGCAGTCGGGACACTGGGCGCAAGCTATCTTGTTTCTAGTCTGGTGCGTTGGCACTCGCCTCCGCCTCCTTAACAGCCGCTAATGTCTTCGCTTGTCGCAGGTTCTTCTTCTACGGATCGACCCAGGGCCCGATCCCTTACGCCGTCGCCTCCGAGGTCAGTCGCCGCGCTCTCATACGCAATTTCAGCGCAGAAGGCTTAGGACGACCGTCGACATAATGTACTGACACCTCCGCCTCCTCCTCTCATAGATCCCGGCCGTCAAGCTCCGCGCCAAGACGCTCGCCATCGCCCGCAGCGTCTACTACACCTTCTTCATCTCGTCGACCGTCCTCTCGCCCTACATGCTCCAGACGTGGAACATGAAGGGCAAGGCGGCCTATCCCGCAGCAGGCTTTACCGCGTTCCTCCTGGTCTGGACATACTTCCGCTTGCCAGAGACAAAGGGGTGCGTTCAGACCCGTCTCTCGCGCTCCTCTTCGCGCCCGCTAACCTTGCTCTCGCGACACGCAGCCGCTCGTTCGAAGAACTCGACATCATGTTCGGTCTCCGCCTGCCCGCACGCAAGTTCTCGTCGTACGTCGTGACGGAGGAAGACCGTCGCACTGTCGGGCACATCTGAGGGAGTTGGCAGTATTCCTATCCGGGTCTTCGATGGTTGTGCTCCTTGTCATTGAAGCAAACGCTGTAATTGTGTCAAAGCGGTCGTATAAATGCAGGGCGTCGTTACTGCGTGTCCAAACCCAAGTAGGGCGAAGCGAGCAGCGGGTAAGAAAGCACAGCGTGCGACGAAGCACGGCGGGAAAGCAAGAAGAGCGAGACAAAGGCCTGAGCTCACACGCCCGCCGCCCGTGCGATCACGCTGTGTACTGCCGTGTCCCTGGATGCCCTCGCTAAGCTACACGAACCTCTTCCGCTCGAGAATGTCTCCCCCTCCCGCTCCAAACCAACTCGACCCTCCTCCCGCGCCTCCCGCGCCCGTCAACCCTCTCGCGGTGCTACTCCTCCCCTTCGCCTTCGGACTCAACGGCGGCACGCCCGCATCAGGGTGGTACCCACCAAGCGGAAACTCCCGTCCCCTCGAGACCCTCCTCTTCCTCTCCCTCCACAGCACCTCTGCGCCCTTAACCACGCCCACCACGCCCGCCGCAAGGAGGAGATGGAAGAAGATCCCCCAGGACCAGACGTAGAGCGAGACGAGTTGGCCGACGTATTTGACCATGATTTTCGAGGAGAGTTTCGAGGAGCCTGAGGTGCGCAGGCCGAAGGAGTAGGGGATCTCGGGGAGGGAGAAAGAGGAGGGTGATTTGAGGAGCAGCTCGAGGGCGATCTTGAAGCCGGAGGGGTTGATGGGCTTCGAGTGGCGGAACTGAGCGAGAGGGAAGCCCGGCGACGAAGCTTTGTCAGTGACAGAACCGAAGGAAAGCAGCGACAGACTCCTCGCAACGCACCTGCTCCTTAGTGATGGCAAAGAAGCCAGTCATTGGATCGCTCGCGCTCGTGAGCGGTCTTGCGAGGACGCGGGCTCCCCAGCTGATGATCCGACGATGCAGGGGCCAGCCTTCTGACATCGAGACGCCCTCGCCGTAGCGCGTGCCGAGTGCGAGAGGGGTGACGGGTGTGAGGGAGTCGAGGAGAGGCTGGACGGCGGCTGGAGGGTGCTGTACGAGCGGAGAAGAGGTTAGCGGGGCGTACAGCGGCGAAACGAGCGAGTACCGGCGCACTTGCAAGTCTGCGTCCATCACGACCATTTTCTCTCCCCTTGCACGCTCGAAGCCGCGCAGAACCGCCGAACTCAGTCCCTTCTCCTTTGTCCGAACGAGCACATCCACGTTGAACCCTTCCTCCCGTCTCAACCGCTCGACCTCCTCGACCGTCCCGTCCCTCGAGTTGTCGTCGACAATGACGACCTCTGTCTCGCTCGGGTGCTGCACGGCGGCAAAGACGGCGCGGACGAGCGGAGCGAGGTTGTCCCGCTCGTGATAGGCGGGGACGACAATCGAGTTGCGTATGGGCGGACCGTTCGGTGGCTGGTCTGCGGGAGAGTAGAGCGCCGAGGTCTTGGGGTCGTAGAGCGTGGAAGGGGACGAGCGGAGGAAGATGAGCGAGAGGAAGAACGTCGAGGCGAACAAGACGGCGAGGCGTTGCGGGGTCAGCGGCGATGCGCCTGTCCGCTTCAGCAGGGCCATTGGACAGTCTGTATGGCAGCGCTAGGCCCCTCGAGCTAGTGTGTGCGAGCGGGTGAGCGGTTCAAGGCCAAGTCGCGTCGAGCGGGACCGCCGACGACGTCGACGCGCTCGTCTCCCTCGTCCACACTGTCCAGCTGGCTTGTGAGGCTTGCTACGTGCTCTGGAGACCTGTTCTAGACGCTTACACGTCCTGGGGCGGCGGTTGCGCGACTTCTCCCACTTCCCGCTTCCTCATCACTTGACGGGGTCGAGGAGGAGCAACAGACGGTTACAAGGGTTCGCAGCGCCTGGGAGAAGGCTCAGACTGCTGCTTGCAACGCTACTGGCGGCGACGACGTCTCTCAAACCTCGCTTCGACGCGGGATCAACCCCTATCGCCGCTCAGGCCTTTCCTCACATCCCTTCCTTCTCGCTTTCCCTGCCCTCCCTACCTCTGCTGGAATGACCTCCGCTCTACGCGAGTACTGGCCACAGCATGGATCCGTTTGGGCTGAATGGACCGACCTCCAGCTTGCGATACAGCTCGCCACGCTGCGCTCAGGGTTCTCAGGCTCAGCTCGGGTCAAGAATTCGCACGCGCGCTTCCACTTTCGATGTCGACACGAGCGCAAGACAGGAGACCCGTGCACGACGTCCCTAATGTCCGCCGGCTTGCAGGATGTCACGGACCTGAGCAGCGGCTGGAAGGTGACAAGCATTGGAGCGGGCTGCGCCGACATTTCGCTGCATAAAGGCCATCGACAAGCGATGTATCGTGGACTGAGCGAGATGCTGGACGTAGGGGAACTGCAGTCTTTGCGCGACGAGAGGCCACGCTGATACCAGGACGTCCTGCAGGACTCGCCCGACCCTGCTACTCTGCGACCCGGCGATCTGATTACGCAGAACCGCCACCTACACACGCTGGAAGCATGCGTGCGACGATACTGTCGAGCGCGAGGGCGATTCATTTCAACCTGCTTCCGAACCAAGATTCGCAACCCCTCGACAGACGCATTCTTATGCGACCAGCGCGCGAAGGGATGCGAATTCGTCATTCGATTCGAGCTGGAAGAAGAAGGGGAGGACGGCGAGCACCGTTGGAGGTGCGTCAAGCTGCAGAGTGCGCATACCTGCGAGCGCACGGTCGGAAAGGCGCCAAAGATGCTACGGAAGGCGATGTGGTTCTGGGTGACTCTCTCGCGTCTCTTCGGGCCGTGCGGGGGTGTGCACTGACCGCCTTTGACAGCCTCGGATCACCCTCGTCGACGGTACCTACGATCGAAGCGCCGCGGTGGGCAACCCAAGGCGCGAAGCGGTACGCCCACTCTTCCCTGCGTCGCAGACCCACCGCTGACCAAGTCTCGCCAACAGCGAAACGACGACGAGGACGAGGTGGAAGATCCGCCTGTGTGTTCACCAGACTTCGCTCTGTACCGCTCTTATCGTCCTCAGACTGATACGCTCACACAGATTGCTCGCGGGCGTGCGGAGGCGCCGTCACCTTTCTCCTCACCGCAGCGCAAAAAGAAGATCCTGCCGACGCCCTCGCCCTCCATCGAGCGGTCCCCTTCACCCGCTCCCTCCGCCGCCTCTACCTCTCGCTCCCGCTCCGCGTCGCCCGACCGCGCCTCGTCTCGCGCGGCCTCTCCTGAGCCCGCAAACCCCGACTCTGACGCTGAAGACGACCAAGCCGATGCCGGCGCCGACGCAGCCGCCTCTCCCTCCGCCAACTCCTCCATCTGGTCATCAATCTCCCACCGCGCCTCACTCCTAGCCCGCGCCGAGTCCCGCCTCCCCCCACTCCGCACAACCGTCTCACGCCTCGAATCGGAGCTCGAAGAAGCGCGGCTGAAGTTGCAGAAGCAGGAGGGGATTGTGGAGCGCAGGAAGGGGAGGATGAGGAGGGAGATGAGGAGGGCGTTGGGGGCTGAGAAGGGGGTGGAGAAGGTGAGTTTTGAGTGTGCGGGTTCGAGAGGAGAGAGCTGACGTGTGTATGAGCAGGTCCGGAAGGGGAAGAAGGAAAAGGAGAGAAAGAAGCGGCGCAAGGGCAAGAAGCGTGCGAGTCCGGAGCTGTAGGCGTAAGGTTGAACGAGTTGAGAGCTCAAAGCCGCTCCTTGTTAGACGAGAGCGACGGCAGCGAGCGAAGCTAGGCGGCCAGGCGGCCGAGGGCGACTGTCGCTGGCCTTCTCAGCCTTCACATCCGCTCAACAAGCTCCTCCCTGAGATGCGAAAAGCTGCGAAAAAGTTGCATAAATGGTACACGCACACACAAAACCCCTCCCTCCCTTCCTCTCCCGCTCCCTGCTCACGCGAACACCCTCCTCTTCTCCAACGGGTCGTCCCTCTCGCCAACGTGCAGCCCCTCCCTGCGACTCTTCGAGACGGCCTGCTGGTCCTTGCGTCCGCGGTACTTGGCGGCGCGAGCCAGCTTGGTAGATGCAAAGCGTGCCGAAGAGGGGACGAATTCTGCGTGTGGTCGAATCTTGTCAATTTCCGTCGGGGGTTCGAGGGAGCACAAGGAAGGTCGAGCGCACCCTTGTTCTCGTACAAACACGCGCCGTTGAAACTCCCCTCGAAGATCTTGACCGGGTTCAGGACGAACCTGGGGCCGACTTCCGAGAGCGAGAGGTGAGGCGCTCCTTGCTTCTTGGCGAGTTTCTTCGCTTGGACGTCGGTGAGGGCCGAGGTCGAGGAGGTGGTGGAAGAGAGGGCGTCGGTGGAGGGGGTGTCGAGGATCTGTGCGAAGACACGAAGGCAGAGAACCCGGTTTCGTCAGTTCTGAGCGATCCTCCGGGACGAGTGATGTTGCGGTCGGTCGCACCTGGTAGTTGCGGAACCAGATCTTGCCATCGGCGATCGAGAAGTTGATGACATGGTCGATGAACGGCTTTGCCCGCCGCGCCGTCTTGGGGACCGCAAAGATCTGCACACAGCGAGACGCACAAGGTCAGCGTCTGCATGTGGACGTCAAAAGGAACGGCACGCACATGGGTGAGGACCTCCTTGATGAGTTTCCAGTGCGGCTCCTCGTCAAACTGCTTGTCAAAGACGACGACGGGCCTGCTCCCCTTGAGGCAGTTGCCGGTCATCTTCATCTCGTCCATGGTGTGCAAGTTGAGGACGTGGAAGCGGACCGAGGGCCCGTTCGGGGCTTTGGCGGCCCAGAGGTACAGGTCGTTGTGTTGCCGGCGCGCCTCGAAGAAGAGGGCGTTGTTGCACGACGAGAGGTAGCAGAGTTCGTTGATCGCCGGCAGGTTGTGCTTGTCCTCGAGCTTGGTCTCTGCGCGGTTCGAGCCGTTGTCAGCTTGCGTACGGACTCGAGGAGGGAGGTGAAGCGAGTGCGCACCCTTCTTTGCGTGCGGGAGGAGTGCGAGCAAGTCGGTCATGAGGTGCCTCTGCCTCTGGGAGATTCCCCTCGAGCTGGTGACGAGCACACGCTGCTTGTACGGCTGCTGTGGCTTGTCTGCGTCGGTGCGGGTCGAGGGGGAGGTGGTTCCGTCGTCTGCGCGCTTGCGCTTGAGCGACTGCTTCGTGAGGGTCGAGGGTGCCATTGTAGCAATCTTGTGTGAGCCTCGCAGCACTCGTGAGCCAGCCAGCGGGTGGTGGTGGACGACAACCTCCTCATCAGCTTGGGCTCGAAGCTCGACGGGGACATACACTCGACCTCGCGCACTCTCACCCGCCTGGAGGGCTGCCGACCATCGGAATGCGTTCACACAGACGCTAAACCCCCGCACACACTCGTTCGAACCGCCCAACCACGTCCAATCGCTCACCATCGACGCGCCTCGCCTCGCCCGGCTCCACTTCTCATCGTTCTCACTCACAACGGCTTCAGGCGGGACAGGATGGACGCGGGGACGATGGCAGGGACTGTTGGAGTCCATCCAGGTCACCGCGCGGACCAGGCGAGTCGAGGGAACGCGACTACCCTCCGAGAACCCCCGCTCGCAGACGGCACCCTTCCCAGCTCGACGGAGCTCGCCTACACGACAGAGACGCGCGTCAGGATGGCCAACTCGCCTGCGTCGTCGACCGCGACCAGCCGCGCGTCCAGCCCCGTCCTCGCCAACGGCCCTACCCTCCGCAGACTCGCCGTTCCACCTGGAGCGGACTCTGCGAACGGTGGCATCTTTCGACGGAAGAGTCCTGCGCCGCTTGTACTGCGCCAGGACGAACCACTCGTGCGGCGACTGTCCCTCGCCGTGCAAGACTACGCTCTCGCCGCCGCCCACCCCTCGACCTACGTCTCCTTCCTCCGCTCCCTCCATCCCTCTCTCCTCGCCTTCTTTCTCATCTCCGTCTCGGCCACACTCTCGAACAAACATCTCCTGCGCGGCTTCTTCCACGGCCTGACGTACTCGCTCACGGCGTGGCAGATGGCCTGCGCGACGGGAGGGACCGTCCTCGCTGCCCGAGTCGGCGCGTACAGGCCGTACAAGGTCAAGCAGCGGCACGAGCGGATAGTCCAGGCTGTCGCGGTGGTCTTCTCGTGCGAGATACTGTGCTCGAACTTGGCCTTGCGACTCGTGCCCGTTCCCGTGAGTTTTGCTCCTTGTCGAGCTACGGTCCATCCCGCTAACTCGGTACCGCGCGTAGTTCCACGTCTCCCTACGCGCCGCTTCCCCCATCCTCACCCTCCTTCTATCTGTCATCTTCTTCCACGACCGCACGACGCTGCGCACCTCCTCCTCGCTCCTCATGGTCCTCCTCGGCGTCTCCCTCACCTCGCACCACGAAGCCTGGCTCTCCCCGGGCTCAGTCCTCCTGATCCTCTCCGCCCTCCTCCTCACGACCAAATCCCTCCTCGTCTCCCAACTCCTCCAAGAAAGGATGCACCTCGCCCCGCTCGATATCCTCGCGCGCACAGCACCCCTCTCGATGCTCCACTGCGCGTTGTTTGCGGTTCTGAATGGCGAACCGAGGAGGTTGTGGACCTTTGTGAGGAGTAAGGAGTTTACGAGCGCGCATCTGGCGATGGTCGCGCTGAATGGGGTACTGAGTTTCTCGGGGGTGGTGATGGGGCTGGCGGCGGACAAGAAGACTCGACCGCCTTTACTCTCCATCACCAGTGCGTCCAGCTGTCCTCTTCCTCTCCTCTCGCTAACCGCGCTCCTTCGCGCAGCCCACGCCGCCCAAGCCTCGACAATCCTCTTCTCGCTCTTCTTCTTCTCCCTCCGCCTCTCGCCTCTGAACTTCCTTGGCGTCGGCCTCACACTCGCAGGTGGGGTCCTCTACGCTCGATACGACGCGAGGGATAAGGAGGAGGAAGAGGGATTGGGAGGGGAGGGGTTGCCGGTAAGGAGTCCGGCGGGGAATGGAGATGGGACGGAGGGGAAGGAGAAGGGGTTCTTGGATTAGATGCGAGGAGGGTAGAGGGTGTTTGGTCATCAGTACATTTGGATGTTGTGCGAATCAAGGCAGTTCTTTCGGTTCCTCTCGCGAGCTTCTCACCGCTACCTTGCTTGATTCAGTCGCGAGGTTAGTCGATAGTATGGACATGGCAAGGAAAATGCCTTCTACAGCTCGATGTGACGACAAGTACACTCTATCTACACGTCCCCGCCGCGACCTTAACCGCCCGCTCACATCCCCCACGTCTCGATCCTCTCGCCCTTCGTACCAAAGATCGCGTCCCACAACCTCGACTGCTTGCCATAGTTCTTCCCCGACTTGCCGAACCGATGGTGCAAATCGTGATCCTCGACCGCCAATCCCGCGCCGAACCAGTCGAGCCAAAACAGCGACGTATGGCGCCAGTGACTCCTGACGCCCGAGTGTCCGAGGATCTCGATGTAGAGGGTGTAGATCAGGGTGACCCACATCTCGCTGAACGACATCGGGATGAGGGCGGTGGCGAAGAGCGGGATGAGGAAGACTTCGAGGCATTCTTGGATCCCTTCGGCGAGGATGGCAAGGATTGCGGTGGGGTGCTTCGTCGTGTGGTGTTCTGTATGCCGTAACCTCATCAGCACGCGAGTCCAGCTTGAGAAGGCTGTCGGGGAACGCACGCTTGTGGATGAACCAAAGCGCGTCAACCTCGTGCGAAGCGCGGTGGTAGCAATAGAACGCATAGTCGAGCGCGAGTTGCCACGCCATGAGGCGGAGCGGGTACGTCCAGGAAAAGTCGAAGAGGACGTCGGCTTGGCGGTCGTACTTGAGGACGAACATGAAGCCGCTGCGGGCGACCATGTAGGCTGCGACAAGGGCGACGTCAGCGAGGCAAGGCCCGAGAGAGGGGGAGACGGGACGAACCGGTGATGCCAAAGGCGAGTTGGCCGACGGACTTGTCTGGCGTCCGGTCGCGACCAATCTGCTTCTCGTCGAACGTGCCGAGCTTGACGCAGTAGCCTGCGAGCGCCGGATGAGTCAGCATTCGGTCGTGGTGAAGTCGACTGCGCAAGAAGGAGGGCGATGAGGAGACGCACCGTTGATCCGGGATACCCAGTGGAGCGCGAAATGCATGGTCGCCCAGACATAAAACGGGTACGCCAACCACGCCGGCCAATGGAAGCCTGTTCGGGCGAGACGAGGCGATGAGTTCATTCCCTCACGAAGGCAACTCGGCGACGCTCGACTCACCGAGCGAATGACTAGCCTGCTGCACCGCCAACGGCGCCAGCGCCCTCGAGAAGATGTACAGGTTCTCCTTGACGACCGACTGCGTGGGGATCGGACCGCGGTCGAGTGACTCGGGCTTGAGTTCGTGCATCTCTGGCGGGCAGGTCGCGAGGTTGCAGATTCGTTCGGCGAGGGTCATCTCCGATTTGGGCTTGAGGTACTGCATGGTGACAATTACGTGTCAGTCGAGTCACGGAAGCGGGAGACGTGGAAGGACGCACGAAAGTCGATGGCGGTCGACGGTCGACCTTCTGCCTCGTCGTGCGAGGCGCAGGCGTCCCAGGCGGCTTCGACGGGTCGGTAGCATACGAGATGGGTGTCTCGTTTTCCTCCGAAGACGAGGACGAGGACGAGTCCCTGCGCTGTTTCGCGTCGAGCGAGGGAGGGGCGGACGAGATGCCTGTCGCGAGGACGGCTAGGGATGCCATCGTATGGATCGAAGCAAGGAGTGGGGCGTTCTGGTAGCAAACAGTGGTCCACGAGCTCGCAGACGAAGTGCAGAAGCCAAGCAGCGAAGCAGCGCGCGAGAGACGAGTCGAGAAGCGAGGTCGCCGCTGGTCCCCGGCGACCCTGTTGCCTTGGTCGGTTGGGGGCAGATCACGCGCGCTTGTCGCGACCGAACACGCTGTACGCAGATCGTGATCATCTGCGAGCTGAAAGAGCGCCTGCGGTCCCTCGAGAAGTCGCCATGAGCCAGCGAGCAGGCGAGGAGGTGCAGATTGCGCTCTGAACGGCCAACAACTCGAAGAGACCGCTTGTTCGGCTTCATCCGAGTTGTACGCGTCCTGCTCGAATCCGTTGCGAGCCGTTCATAACGCCCAATCCCGTAGAACGTTGTCGACACGGCGAGTTGAAGGACGAGGAGCAAGAGGTACCAGAACTGGGTCGTTCTGGCTGCGGCGGAGCTGTACGCGACCCCGTTGAGCTGTACAGTCCCTATGGTCCCGTGCAACACTCGTCCAGCCCGCCAGAACGAGTGAGTGAGCGGACGAGGGGAACGAGGTCGACGAGGAGGTCGAGCGAGGGTTGGAAGTCGACGACGCACGCTCTCGCTGGCTGGGAGCGACACAGAGACACTCGCTGTCACCGCTCGACTCGTACGAAGCTCCCTGAACCACCCGCCAGCCCGTCTGAGCCAGTCTCGCTCTTCTCCCCCGCCGACCACCACGCACGAGGACAACGACTCGCAACGATGGGCGAGTACCTCAAGGACGTGCCAGAGTTTGTCGAGCTCGAGCTCGGAGAGAGCTTGATCTCGCGCACCGAGACTCTCGGTCAGTTCTGGCGCTCTCTCACCGCTTGAGCGCGACGAGGGCAAGGGGTCCGAACGGTGAGGGGGAGTTGAATGGTGCGAAGAGGGCTCGCCTGGCTCGCGTATGGTGGTATCGGGACTTGTCGATACCACGAACTCGCCAGCGAGCGCCCTTGCCTCGTTGCCGCCGTCTCACCCCCACCACTCGACCCTCTTGCGACGACGTGCGGACCTCTTTGTACTGACCCTCGCTTCGTTTGGCCTGGAAACAGCCTCTTTCCGCGAACTCGGCCCTCCTGATCTCTGCCACATCATCAAGACGACCGGAAAGGCTGGGCAAAAGGAGGTGTGTTTCCTCCGAAATTCTTGTCTTCGTACGCAGGCTGACACTGCTTTCATGACAGATCGGCTCCTACCACTACGTCTCCGGCGTCGACGCCTCCTCCTCCGCCTCCCTCGCCGCCTACATCAACTCCCTGACCTACACCGTCGAAGAGACCCCCTCGTGGTTCTTCGGCTCGTCGAGCGCAAAGTCGCCCTGGCGAATCCGCGGCGGCGCGTTCTGCTCGTTCAATGCGTTCTCGAGGGTGGATGTCAGGGTGGAGGTGAAGATTCCCGGGGGAGTTGAGGCGTATGTGATTGACGTGCGAGGAGAGCGGTGCGTTTTCGCCTTTCCTTTGCGCTTTCCTTCCAGTCGCTCACTCGGTGCCGCTCACAGACACGAAGCGACCCCGCAAATCTGGCAAGAAGTCTACCTCTCAGCCATGCTGCGCGCGATCCTCTACGCCGACGACGCAAACTACCGCCTCGCCGGGTTCCGCAAACTCGACCCGATCGCGTCGCTCGACGCAGAACTCAAGTTTGTTGCGGCGGCAGAGGCGGCGTTTTTCAACGGTGCGTCCGCGAAATAGTCTCGGCTGTTTTCGCTTTCGGGCGAACTTGAGCTGATGTTTGCGTTCGGCAAATCCGTTCAGGCTGGCAACTCGGCTCCGAGCCCGAGATCCAAGTCGCGACGGTCGTCTCGAACCACCTGACGAGCGGCATCATGCGATGGTTCGGCGAGTCGTTCCGGTACGGACCCGCGGTCAACCTGTTCGAGAAGCTGGTCGTTAAGGAGGGAGAGGTCGCGTGCTTGTTGGCGCAGAGCTACTTGGGCATGAGTGGGTGCTTTCCCGAATCAAGCAGGAGTAGTGTAGCTGATGTTAATGCCCGCAGACGAGGAGGTCAAGGCCGTCCGAGTCCTCCAGTCGGCGATCCAGAACCATCCTCAGTCCTACGCCCTCCTCCACGTCCAGTGCGACTTTCTCCTCTCGAAGGGCAAGACCGAGTGGGCTCTCAAGCTCGCCAAGCAGGCGGTCAATTGCGCGCCGAGCGAGTTCGTGACGTGGGCAAAGTTGACGGAGGTAAACATGGGGCTTGGGCGTTACACAGATGCTCTGTTAACGCTCAATTCATGCCCCATGTTCACCTACGCCGAGCGGGACCTCCACCGCATGCCCACGCCCGCGAAATCGCACCTCCCGATCAAGGACTTTATCGCCGCCTCCGGCATCCTCGACGAGGAGAACGCCTCTCACTCGAACGACGCAGACGTCGCCCTCCTCCGCCTTCCCGCCCCCTCCCTCCGCGGCACATTCGCGAAGGCCTACGTCCTCCTCGCGAAACTCGTCTCGCTCATCGGATGGGACGAGCTGCTCAAATGCCGATCGCAGGTGTTTGTCATGGAGGAGGAGTACCGCATGCACCGCGCGCAGGACCCCATGCCCGAGTCGCCGCTCAACCCGAATGGTTCGTCTGCGGCGGCGGGAGGAGACGATGAGGATGTCAAGGAGGGTTTCGGGCCGTTGGCGATTGCGACGGACGATGAGGGGTCGGAGAAGGCGCCGTCGATCAAGGATGGCGTCGAGGGGGCCACGGTTCCAACGATCGTGGTGAACGGCGAGGAGGCGAAGAACGACGAGGCGGACGGCGGCGACGAGAGCCCTGCGATCCCGACGATCAAGGTGTCGACCGAGTCGGACGGCGAGCGCGAGCGGGAAGAGCTCCGGCGGTTCGAGGAGAGCGAGGCGGGCAGGAAGGCGCGCGAGTTGGAGAAGCCCGTCATGGCGCGCAAGTCGGTGGACGAGAAGCGCGAGGACGACGCGGCGAATGGCGCCGAGGACAAGCCGCTGCAGCAGGAGGCGTCAGGGGGCGCGGGCATCCAGAACAAGCGGCTGTGCGAGCGTTGGCTCGACAACCTCTTCATGGTCCTTTACGAGGTTGGCCGGCGATGACGTCCCTCTGTCTATTGCACTGCTGTTGCTGATCTCACGACTTGCAGGACCTCCGCGTCTACACCATCTGGCGTGCCGAAGTCGCCCACTTCAAGGCGCAGCACCTCCCGTACCGCAAGACCGGCACCGAGTGGGAGATCCTCGGCGAGCTCGCCGAGCGCCTGTACCACCCCGAGGAGGCCAAGGACGCCTTCCAGCGCGCGCTCGACCTCAAGTTCTCGGCCAAGGCGTGGACGCGGCTGCTCGAGATGTACGTCGACGAGGGCGACGTCCAGCGCGCGCTGAACGCTGCGATCCGGCTTTCGGTGTTCCGACGACGCTGGTACGACGAGCAGATCCACCCGACGGCCGTGTCCAAGGCGCTGTTCAAGCTCAT